ACTAATTGTATAATTTCCTATGGTATATGATATTTATATCCAGCCCGCATTCCTGGATAAGGTGATTAGTCATACAATTTTAACCCCCTGTTCAAATATGAATAACTTTTTTCTGCTTTGAACAATTTGAATTTGGTTCACACTGTTCGCTAGCCCAGTCCTTCAGCTATAAGCTCGTACTTCTTCAAACATGAGGTTATTCATATAAACTCGCTACAGGGTGTCACCTAAAACTGTGAAAAATGTTTGAATTTCCAAAAGGATCGATACCAAATGAACGAAAACTTTTTTTTTCTACAAACGTCAAAAAATGACAAGGTTCGCGCATTGATAGCAAATTGCGAAGTGACACTTTTTTTCAGTTTCCTACGTTACAATGATACCTTGCACCAAACAATGTGCGAAGTAAAACAGTGCGCGAAGTACCTACTTCGCGCATTGTTATGTAAAATATATAAGATATTTATATTTCAACTTAATGGTCCTTAATCGAGAAAACATCCACGAAATCATTTATTTCTGAATGTTCAACAATAACTTCGTTTATCTCTTGGAGCACACGAAAGAAAATTCCTATTATGTTCGTGAAACATCGTGCTCACCTAGGGAGGATAGGAGAGGCCTTTTAAGCCAGTCCAACACCATTTTTTATATCAAGCTAAGCATATTTTTACTTTAAAACTATATTTTTTGCCGTTTGTAGAAAAAATTTTGTTTGCAACTCGAGCACGAAATACATTGGTCATCTCGACTATTTTTTTAACTCGGCTACGCCTCGTTAAAAAAATCAGATCTCGATCACCAAAGTAGCATTTCGCGCTCTAGATACAAAAATAACTATTTTCTACAAACGTCAAAAAATGACAAGGTTCGCGCATTGACAACAAATTGCGAAGTGACACTTTTTTCAGTTTCCTACGTTACCATGATACCTTGCACATAACAATGCGCGAAGTGAAACAGTGCGCGAAGTACCTACTTCGCGCACTGTTATGTAAAATATATGAGATATTTATATTTCAACTTTATGGTCCCCAATCGAGCAAACATTCACGAAATCATTCATTTCAGAATGTTCACCAATAGCTTTGTTTTATCTCTTGGATCGCACGAAAGAAAATCCCTATTATGCTCGTGGAACATTGTGCGTACCGAGGAAGGATAGTGGGAGGCTTTTAAGCCAGTTCAACACTATTTTCTATATCAAGCTAGGCATATTTCCACTTAAGAACTATATTTTTTGACGTTTGTAGAAAAAAATTTGTTTGCAACTCGAGCGCGAAATACTTTGGTCATCTCGACTATTTTTTTGACTCGGCTACGCCTCGTAAAAAAAATCAGAACTTTGACAGCAGATTACCTTGAGACATTTTTCGAATTGTCTTATTATCCCTTTTACTACAGAGTAATATCGAAAAATTAACTTTTAGGTTTTGCAGTCATAACTTTTTTCCTTCCCAACCGATTTTTAAAATCTCAGGTTCATTTTGAAGATTAAACTTGAGATGGAGAGATATGAAGAAATGACTCAAGATGAACATTGCACAGTGTGTCTCACTTATAATGGAAGCATCCCTGTATCTTTCGTATTTGTTTAGTTAGGATTCTGAAATTTGCAGAAACGGTAGATATATACTGAAAGTACACACTATGACCAAGTGGAGTCATCTTCAGTGATATACACTGCTTGCTAACAGCCATGGAACCATCCACAAAAATGAAATAGGCGAGTAGACTATTTTTTTTTATTTCTTAAATAGAATCATCACTCAAATAACTTTCAATTTCATATATTTTTAGAATTCTTCATTCGATTTTAAGGTGCTGAGATCAACAATAATGCCACGGTTATTTTCAAACGGCTAAGAATTTACCGCGAGTAAAAACTGACGTCACGATTTCGTAAGTAGGGACAGACCATAGCACAGTTGCCATAATTTGAAATACGATTGGACACAAAAATCATCTGTCTCAAAATATTCCCTCATCTGTTGTGGCTTATCGTTTATAATACATTTGTGTTAATATTAAAATTATTATATTAATTCACACTAGAGGATATTTGAGGGTAAACGTGACAACCCCGATGCACGAATTGTGGGCGGTGCCTTGTCAGTTCTCAGCATTCAGCACATTGTTGCCAAGTCTTCAACATTTACATTTCATTTTGTTATAGGGTACAAGAGATATACAGACATGTTGGCTGCTCGAAAAAGTCAGGAATGATCTATAATAGCATGGCTTACTCTTATTATGTTTCATTTCATGTTTTATCCAACGGCACGACTCTAATCTTTATGATAAATTGATTATAATTGGTAGCTTGACAACGTTGCTTCATAAGTGTAAATGAAAGATTATTTTTGCAGTATTGCAGTATCATTGCAGAGAAAAGTATTGTTTATCTGCCTGCCTCGTCTTCAGTGAGATAGTTGATGAATTGATTAATTATAAAAATATATCGCGTTTCAGTTACGAATGTTGAAAACAATATCCAGACTTTTCATAGATTTATATTCTATGTTGGTCTCACGATCCATATTTGAAATTAATCCTTAGTTTTAGATCCGAACAGCACATTGTTTGGCATGCAAGGTCCTTAATATAACCCACGTAATTGAAAATGTGGAAGATGCCTACTGGAAGAAACACTATTCGGAAAGAAAGCGGATATGTAGCTATCTAGTTACGGACGTTGAAAATATTATTCAGGTATGTCTCAGATTCAACATCTATGTATTTCCTCTAATGATATTTTCTGATCCAAATGTACTTCGATTCAAATGTGATGTTTAGTTGCAGATCCAAGAAGCAGTGTTTGATACTTGCCACTCAATCGGAGAAAACAATCCAGTAAACACGGACCGAACAGAAGATCCGCAAAGAGAACTGACCAGAGTATACTTTACAGAATTCAGATCATTATATTCGTACGGAAGGCGATATATTGATATCCTTTCCAGATTCTCAAGAAAACAGATAAGACAGATATTCACCTTTATGTCTCTATGGAAACACGACAGGTACCCTTACGAGGGGAGAGTATCAACTCGGCGTTTATAAACCCTCTCTGCAAAGGAGGTAGGCGCATGGTGGGTTAGGTATATACAGTGTTCTTCATTGCAGAGAAAATTGTTGTTTATCTGCCTGTCTCGTCTTCATTGAGATAGTTGTTGAATTGATAAATTACAAAAATATATCGCGTTCCAGATATGAATGTTGAAAACAATATCCAGACTTTTCATAGATTCATATTCTATGTTGGTCTCACGATTCATATTTGAAATTGATCCTTAGTTTTAGATCCGAACAGCACATTGTTTGGCATGCAAGGTCCTCAATATAACCCACGTAATTGAACATGTGGAAAATGCCTACTGGAGAAACCACTATACGGAAAGAAAGCGGATATGTAGCAATCTAGTTACGGACGTTGAAAATATTATTCAGGTATGTCTCAGATTCAACATCCATGCACTTCATCTGATTATATTAATTTTCTGATTTAAATGTACTTCGATTAATATGTGATGTTTAGTTGCAGATCCAAGAAGCAGTGCTTGATACTTGCCAATCAATCGGAGAAAACCATCCAGTAAACACGGACCGAACAGAAGATCCGCAAAGAGAACTGACCAGAGTATACTTTACAGAATTCAGATCATTATATTCGTACGGAAGGCAATATATTGATATCTTTTCCAGATTCTCAAGAAAACAGATAAGACAGATATTCACCTTTATGTCTCTATGGAAACACGACAGGTACCCTTACGAGGGGAGAGTATCAACTCGGCGTTTATAAACCCTCTCTGCAAAGGAGGTAGGCGCTTGGTGGTTTAGGTATATACAGTGTTCTTCATTGCAGAGAAAATTGTTGTTTATCTGCCTGTCTCGTCTTCATTGAGATAGTTGATGAATTGATGAATTACAAAAATATATCGCGTCCCAGTTACAAATGTTGAAAACAATATCCAATATTCTATGTAGGTCTCACGATTCAAATTTGAAATTGATCCTTAGTTTTAGATTCGAGCAGCACATCGTTTGGCCTTCAAGGTTCTTAATATAACCCACGTACGTGATCGAAAGTGTGAGAGATGCCTACTGGAAAAAAAACACTATTCGGAAAGAAAGCGGATATGTAGCAATCCAGTTACGGACGTTGAATATATTATTCAGGTATGTCTCAGACTCAACATCCATGTAATTCATCTAATGATATTCATTTTCTGATATGAATGTACTTCGATTGATATCTGATGTTCTGTTGCAGATCAGAGAAGCAGTATTTGATACGTGCCACTCAATCGGAGATAACCATCCATTCCATACGAACCGAACAGAAGATTCACAAAGTGAACTGACCAGAGTATACTTATGGTGACTAGTTATGTTATATACTTGGTATATTATGATTTGATAGTCTGACATTGATGTGACATTGTGAAATACTTGAGCAGACTTAGGTTTTTTTAATCTCAATGTGGAATTTTACTACCAATTCTTACATTGACGAAGAAGAAGATATCATAGGAAGAGGACAAATGAGATGAAAAGAAGTACATTTATCAGTTCTACCAACTGTGACAAATAATGTCAGCCCTTATTAAGAAGATAGCGTTTTAAACCGCATGGAAGCGTCCACCTTTGCTTTGATTGCTCAATATTGGGACATTTAACTTTAAGGTTGAAGTCTTTTCCATAATGATAACATTATCACATTATATTTTTGCAATGTCTTATGTTACAATGAATCCCGATACTAGCATCAAAGTCGAAATCATTTCGCCAGTGTGAATATTCCTTCAGAGGCAGCTTTTTTGGTAGGGGAAACAAAAATAAATCTTCTCAAATAGTTACTCTGAGGTCGTCACGCTCAACTTTGCGTTTTCCCGTGTTTTTCATGGTATGAAATATCGTAAAAAACAATTATCATTGAAAAAATGTACAGAGCTTTGTAGAAAAACCTGTTTGTGATGACCTACAATTACCATTACCTGTTTGCCTTGCACATTGAGGACTCTTTCCACGCAGACATTGTCTATCCTTTTCTTTCTGAGTTCAGATCTTATCCGGAATACTTGATCAGAATAAGGTGTGACGACGCCTATAGATTGGTCATTGTATGCCCCCCACTCGGTGGGCCAGTTGCGTTTCAGTTCTGATACCCTTTCCACCACTTCGTACACCTATAATAGGCAAGAACACAATTTAAATGTGAATATACCTGACTGAAGAAGTTATATGAAATGAATACATTGTTTTTTTCAACAAGATATGCTGTGAAACTTTGATAAACACCATTTGAATACCCTACAATTCCATGGAAAGTACAAACAGCGTCTGGCGCTACACTCGTTTGCCAGTACTAACGGCATAAGCCCTTTTTTTCTGTTTGCCAGCTGTTTTATTTCAAGGAATTATTGGCTAAACATTTCTTGATTTTCCGAACAATCCAATTGTAAACCTTGGAGATGATTCGATGTCCATTAAGTGATTAATTTCATTAATGGTTTCAAATGTGATATACTTGTACTTCCCCAAATTGATATTAAATATTGTAATTTTGAGTAAATCAGACAGAAATATATATTCTTCAAATATCTAAGAGGAATGAATTTTCGAATTTTGTATAAAATGCCAGTAATTGGATTTAGCTTTTTTCTAAGGTGATCTATATGTTTAGTCCACGATAATTGTTCATCAATATAAAGACCTAAGAATTTTGTAACATCCAAATATTTTATGTCTTTCTGGTCGAAAAATATTGTCGTTTTCGATATATCAGTTTTTCATTTTGAAATATACATATATGTGGATTTGTCATAGTTAAAGAGTCAGCTTATGAATTTGTAGCCAAGATGATATCATTTTCAAGTCAATTTTTATATCATCAACTATATCATTAAATCTTTAGATTAGAGGAATAGAGTATTGTTGCATCATCTGCAAATAACTTTAGATTTCTTTTTAGTTTCATGATCAAAGATGATATTGAATTGATGTAAATTAAGAATAAAATTAGACCTTGGAATTATATATACCTCTGAGTTGTTGTAAAACGCCGTGGAATTCTTATCTTGCACGTCCTCCCCTCTGGTAGTGAAAAAGGTCAACGGAAAAAACTTGCTGTGCCTCGGCTGCTTGCTGCTGGACACCAACTTTTGGTCGTAAAACGACTCGGACGTGAACTGAATGATGCTCTCGTGTGCCCTGTAATTCTCGCAGAGCAGAATCTTGCAGGGAAACTGCGCAGGATAGTGGTCGTAAAGCCGCTCCAGCAGTGAGATGTGTAGGTTCCTTAATTAATCAATCAATCCAGATATACCTATATTGTCGTATGTGATACAACAAGTGTATTGATGATTATCGAAATACCATTGTCGATCTAAATGGAAAAGCTAGTTAGTAGGCGAGAGGTGCAATATTGTATGATCATTGAAAAAAAACAATTGTGAAAAGCGCCCTCATTGTGAGAGTTGTCTATACCGTAGAGACATCTATAGGAACTAAGTCGTTCATTTTTTATTCCTAATCAAAAACATTTTTCCTATGGGTTGCATGCAAGAACTGTCAGATGACCGACCCTGGAGGTGAAACAATGAAACACAATCTCACGTTTCTCATTTGTTTACAAATGATTGAAATAGTTTTTCACAATTATTTTGGCATACGAATCGTGTTTTTCGGCTATACATTAATTCACGCATGCCATCACATTGTGCTGTTGTACAATGCACAAAAAATGCAGCGAGAGACGAAGGAATCCGATTGGTACATTATGATTTAAAAGTAAGTAACTACTAGGTATAGTCACTCGTATATAGTTTTCATTTCGAAATTTGGTAATTTCTCTGATTTCTCATCGAAATGCCTTCTGTAGTAGGAGCTAATAGAAATACTCGTGAAATTTCTGAGAGAGTGCAAGAAGATTGAATTCATGCAATCAAACGGGAGGACTGGTCTGAGTTGCTGACGAAATATGATCGTGTGTTGTAGACATTTTCAATCTATTTGCAGTATTAGCTCCTATAGCCGAAGTGGCAGAAGGAATTTTAATAAGAAATTACATTTCATAATGAAAACTATGTGAGATTACTATTTACCTTTAAAATTATATTCCTTCGTCTCTCGCTGCATTTCTTGTGCAATGTACAACAGCATAATGAGAAGCTTGAATTAATGAATAGCGCAAAAAAACACGATTCGAATGCCAAAATATTATGAAAAACTATTTCAATCCTCTGATTCCTCTGTTAACAAATAGAAAAAGTGAGATTGTGTTTCATTGCTTTACAGAAGAGTGAAGTTGTGTTTCAATGTTTTACCTCCAGGGTCGGTCATTGTGCACGCGACCTATACCTACGCCTAGAGTCGGTGAGCTGATCGTTAATCAAGCTGTGACGAAATATTATTCCTATCGTCTACTAAATAGCAAACTAGCTCCTCCATTCAGATCGACAATGATCGAGCTAGAGTCACTGGATGGTATTAGTTTGATAAGAGTTCGGACACAGCTGAACTTTTGTCCTTTTCTATTTTCGATAATACAATGGTTCAAGTGAATGAAAGAATAAGACATATATTCTGCTCTTTGTCTTTTCAATTTCCCTAGTAGCGCCTGATTGTCAGATACGATTTTAGAGGTTATATTTTCTGTCAAATCAATCGTAGCCGTAGATGGACAATGGAAATAGGGTACAAACACCCGCTTCAATTCATAGTGATACATTTCTAGCAGAACAACAGTTATACAAATGAAAAGAATGCGTGTAAGAACATTTTAATATTAGAAAATATACACATATGAATATACTTTTATAGCTTATTCCTTATTGTATGTGAAACTGTAGTCCAGTGATAAGTATAAAACATAGATATTAATATGCAATTAGGTAGGAATTCTCAATACACAGGAAGTATAACATAAGTACGTTCAAGTGGAGTATTCCTGAGACAATTTCAAGAAATAAAGTCTATATTAGCTTATTGTGTCCGGAAATGCTTTATTCGGAGCTTCAGAGTGTTGAAATACAGAGAACAAATCATTTTTCGATGAACATTACATAGGAAAAAAGTAGTTTATTTTGACGAGACCTACCACATACTTGGTTTAGTAAAGTTCTCAGCAACTTCACTTAGCGCCCTAGGAGCTAAGTAACATGGATCGATATAGAAAATTGTAAATATCTCCAAAACGATAACCTCCAGCGTAATTGAGGCCCTTATAATAATACCCTTGATACATAAATAACTATTCTCATTGGTTTCATGTTCACATAAATACCCAAGTAGGTATAATAGATATGTGAGAACATAATATACCTTCTGAAACTGTGAAAACTGAAAACACAGAGTTTTGCATTCATAATAATAAATTAACTAACTTCTTAATCCCATACTTCGACTCTCTTTTGAATTCCTTAATATTCTTCTGCTTTGTAAATGGATGGAACAGCAGATTCTCTCAAACAGATTTTGAAATGTTCTGTTTGAAAATGGGCCTAAAGTACAGTTTCATTCTAATCAGATGCTGTTATAAGAAGTGAATTTTAATGAGTACCTCACAAATTTTGTTCGTCTTCAAATTCATTTTCCACCCATATCTTCCTTCCATAAGCGAATGGTTGATATTTGTTTTGGAAAATTGAATAAATGATATTCATATCCATTTTTTTCAGAATTGGCACGATTAATTATACAGCAACTAATTATGTAATTTTGTTTCAATTCTGACGTTTATAAAATTTATTGTCAAATTCAAACAATTTTGAATGAAAAAGAGCGGAACGACTATGTTGCTCTTGTCACAATGTAAGGTGTGTAACTTAATAAATCTAAACATTCAAAAACCCTAACTGTTGTCATTTCTATGTCCGAACTCTTATCAAACTAGGGTCCCTTGATGGAAATTGACAAATACGTCTGTTTGCATCAAGGGACCCCATTATCAAACTAATGCCCTCCAGTGACTCTAGGTCGAGCCAACGCATTTACCTCTCTCTAGCAAAAGTCGAGAAGATGTCCGGCCCCAGCTGCATATGGTCGCCGGCCAGCACCAGCCTGGTGTTTTCATGCGCCACCGCCAGGGGCGTGACGGTCTCGCATTCGATCGCCTGCGCCGCCTCGTCCAGCAGCACGTGCGTGAAGAAGCCCTGCGGCAGACCCATGGCCGACAGGTAGACGGACGTGGAAAGCGTGACGACGATGATCCGGTGCTTGGTGATGTCCTCGATGGTGGGGATGAGGAAGGAGCGCACGGTACCGTCGTTGCGGATCAGGCAGTACTTGATGATTGATAATAATAACTCGGTAAGTGTTGTGGATTTTGCAATTCAGTTTTATGCAGATGACACTCTAATGGGGTTGTACACACTAGAGTTCCTAAATGTACTTGACACTGCTGTTTTGACGTTTTTTGTATATAAGAGTACGGACACTAGACAAGCAGTGACAATCAAATATAATCACAAACGATTTTGAAGCAACTCATATGTTTTGCCAGGCAAGGACAAGAATATGATTTTCGCTTAGAGAAAGGATCCTCGCATATTCCTTCCTACACAAGTCCTGGGAAGAGTACATCCATATATCTTTCTGTCTTTGATTTTTGTATGAGAGTGCATTGCGTCTCCTCGAGTGGATAAAACGGTACGATAAATTGATAAGAAAATTATTCCTTCTCGAAATATTGAATGATAAAGCTGAAGAACCTCAATGAAGGTGGATATCAAGTTGGTATGTACATATAAACCAACGAAATACATATTCTATTCCTATGAAATAAGTCTCCTATATGTAGGTATATATATACGTTCAGTTGAATATTTTTTTATCACAAAAGTACAGAATGGGGTGAAAACTGATGAATTTCAACCAATGAAACACAAGAGTGGTAGGTAATAAGTAATTAATAAATGAACAAATGATATGGCAACAATACCAGCTGATTTCAGTTAGGATAAATATTAAAGGTTCTCCAAGATATACGGAAGTAGGAATGACTGGACTTCAGCGCTCGACTCACTATGGATCGCCATTCAAGTTGCTAAAGGGGATTGGTTTGAACCCGGCCACCGGAAGATCATTTTCAATATGTAACATAAATGGTGCACTCGTTAAGCGTTCTTGTTCTGTGCTCTGATAATATCTTGCTCGTATCTTGGTACCCAAGAAGTGAATCAAAATCCACTAGGAGCTATGTAGTCGTCTAGCACTACTCAACTACGCATGAACATGCACATTCAGACTTGGAAATTCAAAATATGTTCGAAATGCATTTCATTATCTGCAAGTTTTCCGTTTCTTGTTGGCTCTTGATTGGAATGAGGTTCTTTTCAATAGTCGATCAGTTTATAAATTGTGGGTTCGGCTCTTTCTCTCAATACGATCCTATTCTTCAACATCAAATCCGTTCTGAAATGTACATTATATAAATGCGTTGAAAAATGTTCTATATCCTACCAAGAAATTTGAATACCTTGCCTGGACCTATATTCCATGCCGGCCGCATCATAATGTTTCCATTTTTGTAGAATTACGTTATCCGATGAAAATTCGAATAGAGTGGATTGACTTCCCGTGTTCACACAGTTGGAAACTGCACAAACTTGCATATATCTCCTAATTCTCTCAATTTGTCAAAACCTTTGAAATTTATGCCATGTACCTCCGTGTACTGTCAGTTCCCGACTCGACAGAAGAGACAAATCAAAGAGATTTGGAATGTCCCGACAATCATCGCAAGATGTTCGCAAGAAAAAAGTTTACAAGTTGATGAAGTAAATGCAAATACCTGAGAACATTCGCTCAGATTTGTGATCGATATGACTTTTCAGACAGATCCGCATCTGCGATGGAATCAGTTCTTCTGAAGGACGCTGGAATCATCACAGAGGAAGATAAAGTTGATGTTGTAGATAAAAATTAAGTCAGGAGAGTAAGGAAAAGAAACAGGCACTGTTTGCAAGGGAAAAGTGTTGAGAAATCAATAATACCTATCTTCTTTGACGGTAGAGAAGATGAAACCTTGGCTCAGGAGAAAGGAAAAATAATTATGACCATTGAAGCAATTGGTAGTAATTTGCCGAATGTAGTCATTTCAGCATTGCGCACCGATAGATACTTGAAGTTGATCGATACTGAAAATTGATGACAGAACACATGTTCAAGAACTAGCGTTGGGATGCTTACTGAAGCTCAGAAGAGACCTGTGTTAATAGAAAAACATTTGTTATTCCTAAGTAAACTTCGAGCAAGTGATTGAATATAATGGTCCTCATTGATTGGCAAGCTACTGAAATATCCTACCTATTCTGAAGAAAAAATACGATTTCAATAAAGAAGCTAATATTGGTACAATTCATCTCCTTCTTGTGTTATACTCAGGCGGTTGAGAGGTGTGTCAAGTTAGTAGCTGAATATTCTCAGAGTGTGATTGCCTCCAAAGCTCGAGATGGCCTCATTTCAGCAACTCTCGAATCAAGAGCTTATTTTCAAGTTTCCAGGACAGCCGCTAGAGGGCATAATTGCATTGGCCTACTTAAAAAACAAGTTTTTATAAAAATTTGATATATCAAGACATATCAGAAACACTTTTTCCATGTTCTAGAGTTGATTTCCAATAATTTCGATAAAAAAAATTGCGCTAGCTCTTTAAATAAAAGAAGGAGGGAAGGATGAATAGTACTCTGGAAAAACTCTTATTACTACAGTTTGGCGTAACGGAATTAAGCGATCTTGGTCTCATTATGAAGATTTTTTTCAGATCTTCCCGATAAATCACGAATCAAGTCGATTTAAATCCCGTGGTGGCCGCTAGATGGCATCGTTTGAAAAATCAGCCGATTCGCCATTTTTTTTTTTCGAGAATTTCCAATGGAACCATATATTTTTCCTGCTATGATATGAAAGTTCAGTAAAAGAGAAGGAAAATGGTGAAAACCGCGAGTTGATACCTCTTGAAGAACCGGAGAAATACTCGGAATAATATTAAAATTTAAACTGTTAGCATATTATGTCAAATGCCTGCTCATTCGTTATCGGCATTTTGACAAACATGCAATTCACAATGAACAGTAAAACTTCCAATGGAACTTCAATTATAGTTTGACGTTTCTTCCATTCAAATTAGCTATGTCGTTACTAAGAGTCTCCTTCACTATTGTGAGATATAACAGCAGTTTGTGAAACCAAAATGAATGAATTATTGAAATCATAATCTCATAGATACAGGATATTTCTGATTACGATTATTGAAGTTAGATTCCTGTGGCGAATATTTTCATAATATTATTTCGAGTATTTCACCGGTTCCTCAAAAGGTATCAATTCGCGGTTTTCACCATTTTCCTTCTCGTTTGCCCTACTTTCATATTAGAGTAGAATGAATATATGGTTCCATATGAAATTCTCGAAAAAAATGGAAAATTGTTTGATTTTTCAAACGATGCCATCTAGCGGCACCACAGGATTTAAATCGACGTGATTCATGATTCATCTGGAAGATCAAAAAAAAAACAGTTCACTGCGCTGATCCAAATCACATACGTATCCAAATATTTATCGGTCGGTAATATGTTTCCTGTAAATATGGATTGTAACCAGGATGAGCTTAGTGAGATTTACCCACGTCAAGTATGTTTATCAAAGGTTTATCAGAGTAGGCGCCATCGAGAAACTTGCAAACGACCTCCAATAGGGAGCAAGCGCACCAGTTAAATTTCTATACATCTCTGTAGAAACAATCTCAACGTACTTTTTGCACGACGGGGTTGACAGTGGTTACCCATCGCTTGGTGTAATAGATCCTCAACGGCCTCGCGTTCTCTTCTCCCGCCTCCACCCACTGGTCCAAGTAGTCCTTGATGTACAGATCGGCTGCGCTGTTGGAATGCGTACACAGCAATATCCTGTTGCTTGGATCTCGGATCAGCTCTCGGATAGCCTGCGCCAGCGTGAAGGTCTTGCCTGTGCCGAAAGGGCCTATAACCTGCATGACACGGCGGCTGTTAGCCAATTAGGCAATCCAAACCACGTGACCCAATATGGCGGCTGGTGGCACACAATCCAGGTAGCGCCGTAAGGTTAGCATTGTTTGTGTGGACGTTGGATAGTTTTTAGTGTTTCACAAAAATCAATGATAGTTTTAGAAGTTCAGCAAACACCAAGGTGGAATCACAGGTTGAGAGTGGAAACATAATTATGGTGAATATAAACCTATTCGCTGGAATCAATGTTACCAGGTGGCGCTCGGTTTTCATCGTTCCATGTCAAAGCCACGTCAAAACTGGGGGAAAACAAACTCAATCCCATTAGTGCCATTAGCTTGTGTACTGTGTACTGATAAGAGTGATAAGTTTTTGAATTTCTTGATATTAATTGTCAATATTCGATCGAAAACGCTAATAATGCCTGTTGTAGATGTTCTTTTAGCAGATATTTTGCTCTATTTAAATGGAAAAAGCCGACCAGTAGTGGGAGGAGAAGCAATAATCTCCGTACTGATCATCATGTGATTTTGTGTGAGGCAGAAGACTTCAACAAAAGGCACATTTTGGCACTTTGTCTACAAACTTCGGCGATGAAATCTTCCCCACATGAAGTGAAATTGGGGTCCAGAGGAACTCCTGTAGAACAATGGATTTGTATTTGTTCATGCAAAGCAGGACAATCGGGGTATTGTAAACATGTTGTAGCTGTTATATGTCAATTGATTTGCTGGACATAATTGGTTTGAATTGTTTGAACTATCGCCAATTCTTCACCCGTTCACTGTTCACTAAACTAATAAAAATGGATTAATGTAAAAAAATTAACCAACTCAACCATCATCACTACCAACAGTGCCAACGTTGTATGTCATTGACAAGTTTGACTACAGCTACAGCAAGCTGAATGCAATGTAGTCTATGCACTTTATCCATAGACAACAGTTTGTTTTCCCCAAGTTTGAAGTTCGTATTATGTAACCAAGATGTCGCCCACTTCGTGAATCTCGCGGATACACATCATAACTCCCGAGGTTCAAGTCTTAAATAGATTCCTTCAACCTTATTGTCCTTTTGCGAGAGATAATTGATGTTCTTGAGACTTTCAATTTATGATTGATGTCGCCCACTTCGTGAATCTCGCGAATACACATCATAACTCCCGAGGTTCAAGTCTTAAATAGATTCCTTCAACCTTATTGTCCTTTTGCGAGAGATAATTGATGTTCTTGAGACTTTCAATTTATGATTCTATCTATCTACTATCTACTTTTGAAGGACTTACCTATAAGAACTGTCTGCTACTGACTCTCTGATACTTCATCTTTGAATCAGTAAGATCAATGCAGATAACAATTTTTCTCTTCTCTTTCTGGATACGTCATTTTTACTGGTCAAAAACTTGTGGTTTAAGATTTTGGGGACCGAGTGAAAACCCACTTTATCCCTGTCATGGCAAGACCACATACATCCTACTACAATGCATGTATGAGGCTTGAGGCATTTTACTTCAGGATAAACTAAACTGTGGCATACGGTCCAGAACAGAAGAAAAACAGGTCTAACAAGCACAGGAATTCAAAAAATAAAACATTTGACCACTATAATATAGTCATATTATATCAACAAATAAACTATCATAAGCTAATAACCTGTAGCACTGATATAATAACGAGTTAAACTTGAACAACGATGAAAGTATGAGGCATATATTTCAATTTGATTGCCTATAATCAAGAGAACAAGTCCAACACACACAGGAAATTACAAGAAAAAACAGTTCATCATGTCGCATATGACAATACCCAATGTGCCAACAGCCGCCATATTGCTTTTCGTTTGACAGGTCGCTGGACTGCCTAATAATCTTCATTTTAATTATAGGTTAACTCTAAAGGAGTGTTTATTGTCTCAACAATAAAACAAATATTGCCTCCATATCCAAATATTACACTTTGTTTTGAATCTAACCATATATAGACATCTATGCCCTTCCAGGGGTTCAACAGCAATAGGAAGGAGGAAGGCCACGGTGGAAGGAGATGAATAAATATTTACAAATTAAAATAACCCTGCAAATTATGAAATAAAACAGAAAGGAAGAACCTAACGCGAGCTAAAATTCACGATGCCAAGTAGGTATCCATCACAAATATTCATTAAGGAGCCCAGCAATGTAGGATTCTGAAAAACGACAAAAAATGTATCTCTTTATCGAAGAATATCGAACAGAAATTCAATATCCTTCCCCTTTTCTCATAATATTCTTGATATTCAACACATAAGTCAAAACGAAAATGACCGATGACATCCGAAATCGGCTAATCGCAAAGAGCGCATGAAATATGAAAAATAATGTCTATCGCGACTGTGGTACGTTTGCAACAGCAAAATTCTTTATTCACCGGCAATGTTAAACGCGAAAACGTGAAAAGCTTTGATAGGTTGAAGCAAATGACTCTGGAAGCGGGATACAGGTAGTATAATGCTACAAATAGCAAGGAGTACTTCGACTTCCACTCTGAAAGATATTTGTTTCTAGTTGTCATATCCAAAGTCTGACATTTCTTCGTAAAAATAAACAAAAAATTAAAAAGGACGAACCAGTATAGGCGGTAGAGGAATGCATAGGGGCGTTGTGATAGCATTGACAGCCTCTTTCTGTTTGATGTTCAGACGAGGATCGAGCGTTCTCGACCACTGCCTCGAGGGAGACCAGGGTATGCTCGGTTCAAGGTACGTCTCCGGGAAGATCATCTTGAAGTTCGCCATCTTGTCGAGGGTGTAGTGCCACTCGCAGTACGGGATCCTGTTCAGCTGGAATTGGATTTCGACCTCTGTCGCGGATTCTTGCGTCAACCTAAAGAATTATTCATTTTAATTTCGACATGTAATATGACCAGTTGTTGAACGTGGTATTCTATCTGTCATATGAAGGAAACTTCAAACTGAGAGGCGAAATATTGTACCCACAACATTCTCATTACTATTCATTGAAATTATCAATCTGGTCAATTTGCGAAACATTTTTCTCGCCAAAATGAGAAAAAAAAAATTGTACTTAACTCGTTCATAGCGTTTCCTAATTGGTTATATAAATATCAATTTTCAAATTGGTTCTTTCCACATACTTATTATCCCAAGAAGGATTCTGGTCCACTGTTAAATACCAGTATGACCGATTGGAATGTGATGTTTCCTGATTTCTGGTTATTGACAGAGTTTTGTAAATATTATCAACACGTCCATTGCATAACCTACTATCTGGACCGCTAATGCCATAGGACCAAAACTCATCCATTTACCAGAACAGCAACTGGCATAAGTCGATGTCATTCATGACGGTTTAGATCCTTCTGCGCTTTTCATGGATATGTCGTAACGATCTACAGTGAGTCTCACTTAAACGGTCCCCCCTCTATATCTCAGCTTTTTGTCATGCGATCTTTAACAAATTTGGACCGGTATGAATAACCATCAATATGATCAGTTTTCCAGAGACGAACATCATTTTAGAGAGTGCCATGCGTTTTTATTAAAATGAAAATTTTCATATGATTCCTGTAGAGGGTTTCAAAAAATGAATTATATTTTGCCAATGAAAATGGATTCCGGTTAATATTACTCTAATGCCCAGTTGACAGTTGAGAAGCCCAGGTGATATTAAGCGGAATCCAGTTCCATTAGTCAAACTTTAAGGTCATTTTCTTAAACCAATCAAATATTGATAATTTACGATCTTGCACTAGTTGGCATGAACATGAATTGTTCACTCGAAAAGCCCTCTAGTGGTCTGTTTCACTAATGGAGGATTCATCATGAACTCTCGTCAAACTAATCGAGTTGAAGAGGAATTATAATTATATCATTTTTCATTGTTTCTTCATTGGCAGATGATCTGGAATTCTCGAAGTATTGGTCTGTTAATAGAAATAACTTATATTTAAGCAAGTTTGGGTCGTGGAATGGATTCAAGAACCACACCGGGCGCATGCTCCATTCAATTTAATTTATTGCAATGAAAAGTTTGCGACTTTATCAGTACTAAATTAAATAAAAATTAAATGGAAGCAATAAATGAGATTCTATGAACGCTTACATGTAAGACTGGTATTTCATCTATTACGTTATATATAAATTCAATGTAAATTAAATGAATAATTTCTATTAACAGACCATACATTGCACTAGTGAGGTAGAAGATACCGGCACTACCGACATAACCTACTATTGAAGGTCGTGTCAGTTGTCACTCTGTGTTTATTTTAACTCCCAGTGAGAAAATTTGTTCACGAAAGTTCATTAATAATTGTTATGAAAATGCCTCAAGCCTTCGTGTTCCTCGAGATGTTTCAGAAGAATTGATTTGTGCGATACAGAGTTGCAAAGTCGAAAATAAATTCACATTTTAGTGTCACACTAAATAGGAAGTCTTATTTAGTCGACCCGACTTCCAGTATTGAAGTCAGGGGGTATTAGAGTGAATTTTGAGAAAAAAACCTACCCATGGCCAAACATGGTGGAAATTTTCAAGGTTATGTTAAAAAATATGAAAGAGTATTCAATTTGATGCTTATTGGTCAGTGAGGAATGAAATCGAACATTCCTGCTATTGAGTAATGTTGAATTAAGTGATGTTGAGAAAACTCACCTCATTTCTTGCACAGTTTGAGCAGACAATCTCAGATAAATTGTATTCTTCCCCTTGTCCTCTATAAGTGCCTCGTAAACCTTCCTCTGCTGGGGATCGCTTCCTGTAGGGCAGATATACACAGTATTGCAATGCATGAGAATCAACCTGCCCTCCGACGTATCTTCGGACAACTCCTTGCCCAAACTTACGGAAGCGAACAGTTCCCCGTTATTCGAGTACTTGGCCGTGCTGGCCGCCATACTGTTGGGCGACAAAATGTAGCTGTGCGCTATCTGCAATTTCGCCGTCAGATTGTACTGGGCGATGAGGTCGTATCTGGCCATCTCTTCGATGAACAGCAGTTCGTGCATGCGTTCTCTGTAGTTGTTTTTAGTGAACTTCTTCTCGGCCACTGTCGCATGAGACAGTAAGAACGTGTCGGCGTGCGGGCAAGGGTACATCGACCGCAGCCTCTTTTCCCATTCCTCATTGGCGCTAGTGTGCACCAGCTTGGATTGGAACGTGACTATGTCTGAGTTGTGCACCGTCCAACGTTCAGCGATGGACAGTGTTATTTCCTTGCGGATTTCGAAAATTTTCTCTAGGTCTAGATCCGGTACTACGTCCACGCACAGATGTTTCACTAGTACGGGTTCGGTGGAGAAATCGAAAACGACGGACTGTCTGAAAGTACCGAAAATGTTCGTGGTGAATACTACTGAGATTCTGTACTCGAGAGGCGTTGATTCTTGGTGGAATGGGGCTATCCACTCCTGTTTGTTCGGGAAATCTACCGGACGATTGCAAATGGAAATCTTCCCTAGGGAGAAGTGATTTCGGTATGTATCTTGTAAGAGAGCGACAGCTTTTATAGGTCGTCTTGATTTGAGGTAAAATGTCCATTCGTGTAAGCTGTTTTTCGACGAAACGGTAGCTGACATTGGGCAAGAACAATGGTCTTCGATTTCTTCTACTTTTTCTCGCATGAGAGTGTTAGGGTTTGGAGATTGTAGCCACTTTTCGAGAATTTCTTCCGTGTATGATTTACCTGAAATATTCAATCACTGAAGAGCTCTAATTCTGAAAATCGTCCAGATCACAAGCCCATATATATTGACTTTCAACTCAAAATGCTGTCTGAACAACGCATTCAAGTTTATTCCCACATTACTATTGACATTGGCTGTGAGGGAGATGAAATTCACTCAATAATAATTATGTATTTAATCCTAGGTATTTGATTTATGACTATGTAAGTATGGGAGCAATATATAAATTCGTTTTTGAGGATTTGAGTATGGTTGGTGGTCTGATACCACATTTTTCGATTTCAAGTTCTGGAGTGCTACAATGGTTTATTGAATTAGAATCATCAAAAGATTTAACATCGGTGTAACCATGATGCTATCAGAATTGAACTGGATATAATCTGGATATAATATGGTTCGATTCCTAGCAAGAGCAAGAAACATTTCTCAATATTCAATTTACAAATTAAATACTGTGAAGTTTCGGAGCATCGGCTGGGAATAGTCCTGCACGATTCACTGTTGCGTTCCAATTAACAGTGCTGCTCAGTCAGTCACGATTTCGTAAGTAGGGGCAGGCCATAAGCACAGTTGTCATGTGTTGAAATACGATTGGGAAATTCAGAAATGTTAGTCATTCTTATGATTTGTGATAGAGGACATTTGAAGCGGTAAACGTGACAACACCGCGCGCACTTGTGGGCGTGGTCTTGTCCCTTCTCAGCATTCAGCACAATGTTGCCAAGTCTCCAACAGTCACATTAAATTTTGTTATGGAGTGTTGAAAATATTTGGACATGCTGGTTGCTCGAAAGAGTCAAGAATGAACTATAATATCATGGGTTCCTCCTATTGTTTTATTCAACGACAGGACTCTTACATCTTTTCAATAACTTGATTATAATTGCTGACTTGACAACCTTGCTTCGTGAGTGGAAATGGAAGATTATCTGACCAATAACGAAACAGCATTAAAGCTGACGTCACCATTTATTCGACGTATCGCCAAATAGTGGCCATGACGGTACGTTTGAAATGAGTTCCGAAATTCAACAATTTCGAACAACGCATACACTCATTATTTACATAAAAAAGTGTGAGAAGTGTTGCAAAAACTAATTTAGGTCCCTAACGACACAGTGTAGTAATTGAATGCCTATAATTCATTATAAGTCCACTCGCTCATTATCAGGAATATTCAGAACACCCTGATATTACTGATGACCATGTTCATGGTTCTTGAACTGAGAAGTGAATTGCTAATAGCATCAACACAGGATGAGAGAACATGGTTACCCCCTTATTTCTCTCCATATCTTGAAATAAAATTCTTGTATTTGACACATAAAAAATGTTCACATCAAACGTCAATGCAAGAGTGTTTTTGGATTTTTCACATCCGGTTTCACGAGAAGTGGTAGATTCGATTTTTAAACGGAGCACCCTATATGAAAATTTCAAGTTTGATGAGGTGATTCGCGATAGAAAATACCACTTTGCCCCACCTAACGGCAACAACTTGAACACTTCTTAGCGGTTTGTTTTGATGATGTGACCAATGAGCACAAACAAATAACGAATGTGAACCAATAGAAACAAAGTAAACAGGCCGCTTTGACAGCTTTCAAGAACTCCGATAGGTGGCGTACGCTTATTTTCTATCGCGAATATGTCACATGAGCATGAAGATATTGAAGAATAAATCCCCATTCCTTCAATGAGTGAGACAGAGAGAAAGATGGTTGAAGATTATTACTGTCATAATCATTGCACAAATGAATGAGTGTTTCCATACTCATTTGTCTCATTGTCTCACCTCTATCAAACCCAATATACTGTAAGCGATGAAAAATTTAGCGAGCCGGCAATCCTGTATCTAGCGAAAGACTTAGCGAGAATGGACAGCGCAGAAGTCAACAGGGATATTGATAAGCGCCTAGCTAGACCAGTGAATCTTTCTTACCCCAAGGTTATCAGAAGGTTATTCGTGTTTATTTAGACTTCTAAGGTGATATGAGGAAAACATCTCTCCTGCATGAAAATGTAAAGTACTCTCAACCTAACTTGTCCTTAATGAACCTATTTCCTGAAAAGTATATTTTTGGGAACTCAATTGAGTGAAAAAAATTTAAAAAAATCAACGTCTCGCAGGGATTGAACCCCAGTCACCACCGTGGAAGTCAGATACACAAACAAATAAGCTATCGCTTGTTCATAGTTTCTCCATATAAAGAAGTAACAAATATCATGTATTGTGGGTGGCGTCACATGACCTCGATGTTTGAAGATTCACTAGTCTAGCTAGACGGAATTCCGGAGGCCTGTTGGTTTGTATTGCTAAATTTGCTGAAGCTGATTATTTTCCCATAGTTGTCTCTGTTCATGGCATGATGTAAACAGAGAGTCATAGAAAAAAATCAAGTTCAGCAAGTAGAGCATGCACAAACGAACAGGCCTCGGGAGTCTATATGAGGCTTTTTTTTACCATGTGATTCTTCAAGCGAATATACAGGGTTTGTATTGAGAAAGGACGTTTAAATAATATACAGGGTGTTCAATAATTTGATTCAAAAAAATAATAAGAGGTTAAACTGAGCTGGATGAATAACTAATTTCGTTCAAAGAGTTCAATTGAAAAATGAACATTTGTTTTTGTGACTCAATACATAAAAAATAACTGACATTGAAACAATGAGTAGAAATATGGGTCCATACCTGCATAGATTATTTGAGATTGTTTTTGAAAGAAAAAAAAATGATTCCCTATCTGTCCTCTTCAGTGTTCCAACATAGAATAATGAAAATTTTATGTTGTCAACACTGGAAATCGGAATAAATGGAGAAGAAGACCATTCCAACCTTTTTTATATTGAGGTTAATATGATTTTCTTCTTCATTCTCTCCCATTACCAATGTTAGCAACATACAATTTCCATTATTTTATGTTGGAATCCTGAATACAAGGACAGATGGGGAAGACATTTTTTTCTCTCTCAATGCTTGCTGAACCTAAACTGCTCTATTATGAATCTTGTAGTTGGCTGATGATGGGCTTATATAAGCCCAGAACATATACATGCATGATTGATCTCTGATCAATCAATAAAAGTTGTGTAGATGACTTTGGGATTATTCACCTTTGAACTATACCACTTCACTTTGAGGTACCATGGACTTCTTCCAAAAACTTTATCTAACAGTTGTTTGATGTTATTACAAATGAACAGGTTGCCAAACATTCTGAGGTAAATAAAATAAATTGTACTAGTATATTCCAGATAAGAATAGAGTAGAAGGCATGGACAACAGAGCCCATATTACACTAATAAAACAGCCAAACACAATTATTTCAGAGTTTAATAATGATCCAACTATATATTTGAGTAGCTGATATTGGGAGTTTATTTTGCAGAATACACCATGAATGAAATTATTATAGTATTTGATTGAATAACACAATAACAATATCATTGGTTGGTAACAGGTGACAATTAAAACAACCAAATGTCAATGAGAAGAATAAATGCCCTGCAATTATTCCAATTATACTGCTTGATTGATGACACTCATGGTTGAACCAGAAATAAAACATAAATGGTGAAGACCTCAACATTTGATTTGATTTTAGACTGTTAATAAACAGCTGACCAATCTACTAACCACTCCCATTAATAAAGATATGGCTAGATAGGCTAGTGTAAACCTGCCTGTCATATAGCTAGACCATAACCATAGATCATAGATTAGACTTATGTGAAATGGAATGTACTATAGAGTCTAATCTGCAATTTATCTAAACCTAGCAATATGGAAATGGATTTATGAAGTTCTGCAATTCAATTCAGCTATCCAACTCAGGTTTGAATCAATATGTTGGCTGGATGGCACCATACATAAAATCAATATAATGATGTTACTAGAACAATTAAATAGTTACTGTATGTAATTTTTCTCTATTATCTGACTTCTGATACCAAAAGGAATTCTCTTATAAAAATGATTCATCACATATGAATAATTTTATTGTTTGCCAACCAGTGCATAGTTTGACAGGTCATTGGAATTCCTAATTGACTTCTGCAAGTTGAAACATTTGCCACATTTGTCACAGTATTACCAAAATATTCATGTAACATATTAAAAAGGTATGACATTTCAATTCATCTTTATATTTGAAAAATGAACAAGGATGTGTTTGGTATATACAAGAGAAAATTTTACTTACCAAACAGTTCTTTTTCTTTTGCTCTCTGCAACCTCATCTCTCTATAATGAAACCTCTCTTTCCATTCCATCAACTCATCCTCACCATGAGCCTGTACACACTGGACACCAAATCTACAACAGCCTGTGTCTCTCCAGTTCTCACAGACCCCATAATTGTCAGTCTGAAAGCCTCTAGGAGGAGGACGCCAATACCAATCATGCCCATCATCAGACATTATCATCATTTCATGAGTATCAGTCTGACAGTGAGCCCTCAATTCCATCTTGTCCACAAAAGAAACATTACAGTAGATGCAAGACACTAAAGAAGGGGGCCTCTCAAACTGTAATAGATAAATTGTTCACAGCAGCTATGAAAAATGTTGAAGGATTACCTTGACAGGGTTGCTGAATGCTGTTGTGAAATTTGTATTCAAAATTTTCAACAAATACAAAGATTTTTGCTTTGAATCATTTGAGTTTATAAAGTTGCCTAGTAGACTTTCTAAGGCAGGTTTAGCTTCTTTGTTAAAATCTGATTCTTGTATTAGTATCAACCAATCTCTTGCAGCCATGTCTGCTTCTATAATAAAGCAGGATTATGAAATGAATCAATAGATTCTGTGCAACCAAATATAATAAGTAATCTAATTTTTGAAATCCTTCATGAAATTTTACCTTGGAATCTTTTAAGCATATAGAGAGAGTGTATCAGCCTTTTTCTAGCCAGGCAAACATTGTAGCTACCATGATCCTGAGACAATTTGATGATATCTTTTGAATCAACTATAACAGCAGGATGATTGTTCATTTCCAAGAAACATTCAGCTCTGTCCGTTAAGTAGGATATAACTTGTTCAACAGTATTCTGACCATTGTTCCTAAGAAGTCTAGTGTATAGTTCTATAGCTTTATTCCAGTTTTTTTGCTTCAGATATTCTTGTGCTTGAGATTCCATTTTAGTAGTTGTCATTTTATTTTACTAGTGAGTGCCCGAAATAATAGTTATTTATTAGTGTTTTCGTTAGTTTATTTACATTTTGTATTGTATTCTAGTACTTCAGAAAATTAGTAAGCAAAGCAATCTTCTTCACTTCACCACAGTACTTGCTCAGACGTCAAATTGACAGAAAACAGAGATTGAGAGAATGAGACAGAAATATGAAAAAAAAAACAATAATTGACACTTGGCATAATGGCATGGAAATGATCAATGCACCGTTTTTGAAGTTGCTGTCTAGTCCCTAGGACTACGGACTATGGATGGAAGTAACTTAAATATGAAGGTCACAGAAAAGAAGAAGAGAAGAACTGACACTACTGACACTAGTGAGTGATGTTTTGTTTTTTGTTTGACTTTTCTTGCACTCATCAGTCAGCCCTTGGTTCTTGGTTTTGACATGTATTTTTTTATAGTGTAACATGACAAAATTCCATATTTTCAAACAAAAATGCATAAAAATCACATATTATCAGTGATAATAGTGTTAATTTATGCTTTCTCGGAAGTAGGGCAATGCACGCATTTAAAAGGCACATTCAAATCCAACGAGTTCTTCAAGTTTCTCATTAAATATGGTTTCCAAAAGACTGATCCACACCAGCCAGAGGCGAGCCATGGATATATTTTTGGGAATATCACATCTAAAAGTCAATTACCTTTTCCCATAACTTTTGCAGTGCTTGATAGGATGTATTTCTTAGATTACTATAAAAACAGAGTGATAAACAACAGAGATAAGGCCTGTAAACGTATGTTCACTAAATTGAAAACTAGAGCCTATGATGAAAAATGTAGTGTTGATGGAAAAGATTATTTGAGAAGGATACCATGTCCTAAAGGCAAACTATGTTCTGATGAAGATAACCAGTGGAATGTTGTCAAGGGCCATCAATTTACATATGTTATTGAAGATTTTAAACAACCCTCGTAAGTATTGATAAAATTATTTTGTTGATTTTAATTCTCACATACTTAGATAATGTAACAATATCATTGTCCTGGAATATTTATTTACAAAACATGTTTACCCATTCACCTCTCTATTAATGGGACTGTAACCTGGAATGTTACATAGTAACAATAGGTAATAAAATAAAAACAAGTGGGTAAATAATGGTATTGTAATAGTAGTTTACCTAACAAGTGCAAAAAGTCTCTTTCCACATGTTTTAGGTACACTATTTTTTCTAGTAGTAGTAGTAGAGTGCAGAAAGAAAACAGGATTATCATGTGATTTTTTTTTTCATGAGCTACAAGAGAAAAAAAAATGATAATTAATAATATTGTTTTTAACAAATTTACTTTTCCACACTAAAATTAGTGCTGAGAAGTGAGTCAACACTAAAATGAGGAGTTTTACACATGCTAGTAAAAAAAAATATAAATAGATTCCAAATATAAAACTCAAAATGAAACTTATTGATGCTATTTCTGGAGAGTTACTAAATTCCATTGCTTATTTACATTATTCATGCAATATTTCAACAGAAATTTCAACATTGAAAAAACCTTTCAAACATGATATTGTACAGGGTTTCTCTGAATGGTCTGTACAAAATCTTAGCACATATTTCTGAGGTCAAAATAAGCCAATTTAAAGCAACTGACCTTAGTATGGAATTGCTTCATTTCTGAGATACAGGGTGGTGAAGATAAAAAATAATAATTGACCAGTATACTCTAAGATAGTATTTTGAAAGATACATTTTCATATTGTTAGTTTACTGACCAAACTACATCCAAGAAGATAACAGCAACATTTTCTATTCAAAATAATTATAATAATATAATAGTATATTATATTATAGTTCATTATTGACTCTTTTGAGCAACCAGCATGTCCAAATATTCTTCATAACAAAATATCATCCAAATGTTGGAGACTTGGCAACATTGTGCTGAATGGTGAGAACTGTAGAAGTAGTGATCGTCCGATACCGATCGGCCGATAGATGTGAGTATATATCGGCTATATCGGCTGATGTATAAATAAAAACAACCATAGTTAGCAGCTTAAAACATTTTTTTTATATTTACATTTAAAGTAATATTTGAAAAAAGGTAAGTAATCTTAAGAAATTATGGTAGATATAACATGAAATCAGCATTTAATATGAATACTGTAGTTTTGGCAAATTATCATGTAAAAAAATAAGTGTCTCGGTTGTTTCTGGATTCAGCCGATTCCTCTTCGCCGAATTTACGGTTATAAGATTATAAATTATATTACAGAATATTCAGATTTTAGAGATTTTAGACAATAATAATTAATAATGAATGTTATCAATTAAAAAAAGGCCGATATGCCGATATATACCGTTATCGGCCAAGACATTATCGGTATCGGCCGATTATCGGTATCGGCTAAAAAAGTCATATCGGTCGATCACTACTGTCAAGACCACGCCCACAAGTCATGCGCCTGGTTGTCACGTTCACCGATTCAAATGTCCTCTAGTGTGGATTAATATAATTATTATTTACACAAAATTATAAGCAATGAGCCACACATCATGAGAACATTTTGAGACAATTGAGTTTTTTTTGCTAATTCGGAATATTACCAATACTCAATTGAGAATTTATGAATTATTGAATAACTCATATTTCTGAAGTTCCCAATCGTATTTCAACATATGGCAACTCTGCTATAGTCTGCCCCTACTTACGAAATCGTGGCGTCAGTTTTCACTGGCGGTAAATTTCGAGCCGTTTGAAAATTACCGTGGCATTATTGATGATTTCAGCACCTAAAAATCAACCGAAAAATTCTTATGAAATTGAAAGGTATTAGAGTGATGATCCTATTTTAGAAATAAAAAATTGTGTCCACTCGCCTATTGTCCCACAAATTTTGTGCTTTGAATTTGAATGGTTTGAAAATACAAACATGTTTTCATAAACTACTACTGCCTGGACTACTGCGGTAAATATTTTTCGAAGACTGTTATCAATAAGTTGACAACACAAAATTGGCCAATCGAACCGTGTGAAAAATAAGAAAATCAGTGCCAACTTTTGGCACACGCCCTGTATAGCTGGAGGACTAAACATATTTTAGGTAGATTGAAAATGATCGATTATAACAGCATATCAATTTTCAAGTATTTAATCCAACTGCAAGTTGAATCACCCTGTAAATTGGTCGTTAATAAAAGGAATGAATCATCAACTGTTGTTGCTGTATTGTCTTCCATTTTATAGGTGTTTTTTTGACGCAAAATAATTGGAATTCTTTTTATTATGACACACTGCGCCTATGTAGGTATTTTCACATAAAATTTCATCAATTTTATCTTTTATTGTATCGACTGATGAGTGATGAAGCATTTAAACATTTGGGAGTAATCTTATCACTTTCATTCGAATGTATGACAAACTCGTCAGATGTACTTTGATTTATTCTAGATGGAATAATGTACGTAGATTATTTTCACTATAATAATAATGTTTTTTCTGTGACGGGAAAAAAGTTTGGCATTTCATCTCTGTTGGCAGGTTATTAAATGTCACTTTTCATAAATTACTTTTTTCCCCGGATATTTATCACATATATATACACTGTTGATGGCTTTTGTTGTGCTATAGTTCTGAAAAATGAGTCAATAATACCGTCTCCGAGAAAGAACTGCAAGTCTTTATCTTCCATTCGACTTCGCGTTACGTATATTACTAAACAACCACTAAATTCGCAATTTTTTGATATCAAATCACAGAATTAGACTGACAGAAGTGACATCAGATATTTGATTACTTCAAAAGAATGATAAAGATGCCTACAACGCAGGTGTTCCTACTGTTAAAAACTTAAAATTTCACGTCGATAATTTTCAGATTCCAAAATAATGTAATATCTTCTCAATACATTCTGTCACAGAAAAAAATAGTGTATTATACACGGGAAAAGTATTAGATTTTAGCTCACGGTTTTTTGTCTCTCTGCTACGCGTCGGGAGACAACACAACCTGGAGCTAAAATCGACTTCTTTTTTCCCTTGTATAATAAATAACTATTTCATTGGCCATAAAGGGCCATAATTGTTGACTGGAATTCCCAATTTCTATTGGTTTCGAAAAACGTACAAAAATAATCTCTAGGGCATGATTTTTTAAGAAAAATACCTAGTGTTTGCATATTTTGACGTTCAGGCGCGTGCCTGGGAGGGGAGGTGTTATGGGGTAATTACTCCTCCATAAGGCATGACTGCGTGGACAAAAAAAATCGATCATTAAATAGAATTTCATCTTTCAAACCTAAAACATTTTGTTCAATTTATTATTATTGATTATACAAGGTGTCCCGTAAAGACCACGTCAAACTAGAGTTCCTAAATGTACTTGACACTGCTGATTTTGACGTTTTTTGTATATCAGAGTACGGACACTATGACAAGCACTGACAATCAGACATAACCACAAATGAATTGATGGAAAAAGCGGGAACTGACAGTACACGGACGTACATGACATAAATTTCAAAGGTTTGACAAATTGAGAGAATTAGGAGAAAGATGCAAGTTTTTGCAGTTTCCAACTGTGAGAACACGGGAAATCAATTCACCCTATTCGAATTTCCATCGGATAACGTAATTCTACAAAAATGGAAACAGAATATGATGCGGCCGGCATGGAATATAGGTTCAGGCCACAAAACTTGCGAGGTATTCAAATTTCTTGGTAGGATATAGAACATTTTTCAACGCTTTTTTATCAGGTATACTTCAGAACGGAAGATTTGATGTTGAAGAATAGGATCGTATTGAGAGAAAGAGCCGAACCCACAATTTATAAACTGAGCGAGTATCGAAAAGAACCTTGTTCCCTTATTATAACCAACAAGAAACGAAAAACTTGCAGATAATGAAATTCATTTCGAACATGTTTTGAAAGAAAAAGACTTGACAATCAAATTTTTATAGAGCAGGAATATTAAAAAATCCAAGGTTTACGAGTGGAAGAGAGTGAGGAATTCAGGAAACAAATAGAAAAAAAAATAGAGAGTTGGAAAATTAGTTGAAGCAAAAAGATTTAGATACGAAAGTCAGAGTTAGCAAAATTCAGAACTATATTACCTCAAAATTATTTCAGATTTGAAACACAAATCAGAAAATATCTTCAGAGAAATACAAGAAAATCGAACAAGCAAATATCCAGGCAATTTTGAGCAAAATTCATAGTTTCGATGAACAACACTATGCAGCACTTTTGCATTCGAAAAACCGAATGGATGATTTGAATAACAAATTGAATAATATTATTAAAAAATGTTGCTTGATATGAGCATGATTCATCTCAAAATTCAAAATTAAATGGTAACAGATGGGATGCAAAAAGTTTGGAAAATTTGCTAGTGATCAAATACACGTGTGGTTCATCTGGTTACAATAATTTATTGAAATTTCAATACGAATTACCATCGCTGCGTACTCTGAATAGACGAATTTCGAACATAAATTTCCAACCCGGTATTTTGAATGGAATTTTATATTTTCTGAAAATTAAGATAACAAATTTTGATCCATTTGAACGAGACTGTTGTCTCTATTTAGATGAAATGTGTGCCACAATAGACCCATCTGGGGTCGCAGTGGAGGGGAGGTATTCGCCCCACTCACATGGAACCTAACCTAACCTAACCTAGATGAAATGTCAATTACGCCGGGTAAACAATATTGTGTAGGTACTTGAGAGCACAGAACAAGAACGCTTAACGAGTGCACCATTTATGTTAGGAATTGAAAATGATCTTCTGATGGCCGGGTTCAAACCAACAATCCCCTTTACCAATGTGAACGGCGATCTATAGTTAGTCGAACGCTGAAGTCCATTTATACCTACTTCCGTATGTCTTGGAGAATCTATATTATTTATCCTAAATAAAATAAGCTGTTATTGTTGGCATATTATTTGTTCATTGGTTAAAATTTATCAGTTTTTATCCCATTCTGAACTTGAGTGATAAAAATATATATATATACGTACATATAACAGACTTATTTAGGACGAGTATGCGTATTTCGTTGGTATATATGTACATACCAACTTGATATCGACCTCCATTGAGGTCCTTCAGCCTTATCATTCAATATTTCGAGAAGAAATAATTTTCTAATCAATTTATCGTACCCTTTTACCCACTCGAGGAGACGCTATGCACTCTCATACAAAAATCAAAGACAGAGAAAGATATATGGATGTACTCTTCCCAGGACTTGTGGAGGAAGGAAGATGCGAGGATCCTTTATCTAAGCGAAAAACATATTCTTGTCCTTGTCTGGCAAAACATATGATTTGCTTCAAAATCGTTTGTGGTTATGTTTGATTGTCCCTGCTTGTCTAGTGTCCGTACTCTAATATACAAAAAACGTCAAAACAGCAGTGTCGAGTACATTTAGGAACTCTACCGTTTTCGAGATATATTTTTTTTGAAATTTCTACATCTTTTTGGTTCATTTTTTCAGTAAACATTACTGAAGAATGATTTTAACGTATTCATCAAAAACATTCTCCGAACATTTTAAGGGGGGCTGTGAGAAATATTTTCATTTAAAACTTTGGTAGTGGATATTTAAAAAAATTAGGTTTGACGTGGTCTTAACGAGACACCCTGTATTATACAGATTAATGCACGCCTATTCCATGAGTGCATTTGTCACCATTTAGTTATATTTTCTTGTCGTTATTTTTTTATTTATTTCATCTATTGTATGGCACGAATGGAAATTCCGATAATGTTCAAATCATTTAAAAAAAACAATGCTATTGTCTTAAAATAAAGCAATTGATTATTAGTTATTTAATCAACTAGTGTATTAATGACGGCGATCAATGTTCGAGATCATTGATCGCCTTTTAATATACAAGTTGGTTACAAAATTTTTCCGTCGACTATATTTCTCATTTCTCCTGCAATGAAGAAAACTTGCGAATTTATCATTCATCCGGAAACTGCTAGGAATCACCCAGTAGCCTTGTTACTGACATTAGTGACATTTGACATTTGTCGAAATGATCAACATAGAAAATAAATACCTTGTGTTAGAAAACAGGGATTAAAATCGTTTCAGAAACTTGGAAAGGCGAACCCGTTAACAGAAAATCTTCGATGAAATCCATATTTCGATTTAAATGCAGATTCCGTAAGTTATAGCATAAACAATGAATGCACGCGGTGTATGTTTGGTTGCCTATAAAACAATCGTGCATTAATAGATAAAAATTGATCATTAATAGGGGTCATTAATGAACGATTTTATGAACATTAAACTTACTCGTTAATACGAGGTCGACGGAAATAGTTATTTAACCAACTAGTGTATTAATGAGGGCGATTAATGATCGAGATATTTTAACGTGCGAACGAAGCGAGCGCGTTAATGTTCGAGATCATTAATCGCCTTTTAATATACGAGTTGGTTACAAAATTTTTCCGTCGACTATGTTTCTCATGTCTCCTGCAATGAAGAAAACTTGGTTCGTAAATTCATCATTCATCAGGAAACTACTAAGAATCACCCAGTAGCCGTGTTCCCGTGTTACTGACATTAGTGACATTTGAAATTTGTCGAAATGATCAACATATAAAATAAATTCCTTGTGTTAGAAAACAGGGATTAAAATCGTTTCAGAAATTTGGAAAGGCGAACCCGTTAACGAAAAATCTTCGATGAAATCCATATTTTCGATTTAAATGCAGATTCCGTAAGTTATAGCATAAACAATGAATGCACGCGGTGTATGTTTGGTTGCCTATAAAACAATCGTGCATTAATAGACAAATTGATCATTAATAGGGGTCATTAATGAACGATTTCATATACATTAAACTTACTCGTTAATACGAGGTCGACGGAAAAATATATTATTGTATAATATGAATTTAATGATGGTATATTGATATCTGAGGTTATTCTAAAGAATATGACTGTTCTAGTTTTTGGTATCTATCGATGGTGGCATGCTACCTCAATACATCAACTTGTGAATATCAAGAATACAAGACATACACCCCATACGAAATCGATTATGACATATGGTTGGTCAACGGAAATCCCAACAACTCTGCCTTCAACACTCTAACCTACCAGTTTTCATTCGATAGACAAAATACCTTGGAACTATACCTCGTATTTTGGTTATGCTATATGGTTCTTGTTCCCTTGCAATGCCATGCTGTCAAGACGCAAAAACACCCTGTGACCAAACTGTTCACTGCCAGTCTTTTGCTGGACTTCATGGCACTCTGTCTGATTCTGGTGCACAATTTGAGGTATGCTCTGAATGGCGAAGGATATCCCAAAATTGCCATGGCAGGAGATATTTTCGATATATTGTCCAGGGTATGTAATTCATAGTAAAAGAGCCGGCTGCAAATATGTTCGCAAGGCATGTAAAATACACACACTGGCACAATTAGGGGAACGGGTAAAATTTACACTAAGTTTGACATCAATTTTCTCTCGAACCGGTCACTCGATTCAAATTTGTTTTTCACGAATTGTAGCTTCATTCTTCACGAATACATCTGAGAAATAACCACCTCCAAACGATTCGTCTTTATATCATATACAGGGGTGTAAAGAAAGTACGGATTTTTCGGTATTCTTTAAGACATCCTGTGGAGTGAACCACTGATAATTGAAACGATTTTCCAACACCAAATCATGGCCCAATCTATCCCGAATATTTTCGTTTTTTGTTCATCTTGATATCCCAATTATCCAAGAAAATATAGAGTTTCAAAGAAGAGGTGGATATTGGTATTAATTTTACCACCTGGAAACTCGAACTGGAGAGAACGTGTCGTTTTTCAACTTGTTTCTGTGAGGATTTTTACTTCAAGATGAGAATTGTTCACAGTTTTACCTATCGGTTTACTGTTCAAAGACACATATACGAATACTCTCATGAATATGCAGGGGTGATAAAAGTTGCTCCAATGTTCTTTTGGTGAAATGCTATTTTTGTTAATCAACGTTGGCTATTTTGTTAATGTCATTAATTATTGTCAAAGTCAAGCGATTCACAATTCATAAATTTGATTAATGAAAATTCAACGTGAGAGATTTGACTCCTACTGATGTGGCGAGGGCTGTAGCATTAATTGAAAATGGCCAGTGGGCCAATGTTCTTTTAACATTATGAGAGCCGCATCTGCACCAATTCAATAGATGGCAGGGAAAGACTATATCGCCGAGGTGAACAAATTGAACAATTTGATTTTACTGCTTCTGTCTCCTATGGCAGAGGTTTAGTCATGGTTAGGTTAGGTTAGTCAAGAAACCACACATTTTCAGCTCCAATTTGAGTTTTGAGGTGTAAAATTGATACCAATATCCACATTTCCTTTGAAACTCTGTATTTCCTTGAATAATTGAGATATCAAGATGAATAAAAAACGAAAATATTCGAAATAGATTGGTCTCCAATTTGGTGTTGAGAAATCGTTTCAATTATCAGTGGTTCAGTCCACAGGATGTCTAAAAAAATACTGAAAAATCCGTACTTTCTTTACACCCCTGTATATGATGGAAAGACTCATCGTTTGAAGGTAATTATTTCTCAAATGTATTCGTGAAGAATGAAGCTACATTTCGCGAAGAAAAAAATTTGAATCGAGCGATCGGTTCGAAAGAAAATTTATGTCAAACTTAGTGTAAATTTTTCCCGTTTTCCTAATTGTGCCAGTGTGTGTAGTATATTTAACGAGCGTGGAATGATAAATAATAAAAATAATAATAATAAACGGCTTTATTCATAGGAATGAAAAGACTAGGTGTCACTTAACAGTGTTTTTCTACTCACATAACTAAAATGGCATTTAGCGTACGGATATGTACCACGCTAAATGATCGATTATCACGGATTGACGATCTGTGATTTATTCAAAATATTGAACACGTTACCATGGCAACACGATTTCTCAAACACATTACCATGGCAACACAGTTCATTAAACACAGCTTCAGTAATTTGAGAAATCTCTGACCTGTCGATTGTATTAACTGTCAAATGTTATTTTCGAATATTGTATCAGAATTATTCAAACAATATTCGTTTGCATCAGAGTTCTCCATTAAAAATATATGCGAAATGTAGACGAAAGTGAAATCGAAGAGAATGTTCTGGTAGGTACTTGCATATCTCCAAGAAGTATAAAAATGAAGCATCCATCTTTGAGAACAATTTATTCATTCTGCGCTAAGCATGACAATAAACGTAAAATTAAGGTTAGTAAGCAATGGACTGGACACATCTACAACCAATATCACTTATACGTGTCTCGCATTATCAATGGAACAAAGAATCATAAGTAGAAAAAGAGATATTTGACTAGAAACATGAAATATTGAATCAGTTAGAGTAAGTGTTCAAAATGTCATACGTTTCGACGAATTCACGATTCTATATTCTTTTCTTAAGAATGTATTATTCTTCTAAACAGTTGAGGATCAGCTGTTAGGTAATTTAAGTGATGTTCAATTATGTCTTACAACTCTTGACGTGTATTTATCTATGTAGCATAGACTTTCTGCTCAAGATACAACAGAACTGTGTAATCCATGTTCTTAGTCAAATCTGTTTCGATGTTATTCTTGTAAATCAATGAGTTTAGCATCAGAAATGTATTGTTGTTTTCGGTTTCCAATAAATAGGTGATAATTTTTCATTATACCCACTCTAATACTAGCAACAGTTATCACTTCATCATTTTAAAATCGAAATACTCCGAAAACGGAACACAGTATCGGGTTTTACCAAGAGTACCTGTGTGAAATTGAATTCGAAAAATCTAACCTCAAAGAAGTTATGTCCAAAACTACTCGGTACGAACCGTGTAACTAGCGCCCTCTATGAGAGTCAGGTATAAAAACAGATGCTTGCGATGTGTCAGATTCCAAGAAACATTAAATTTCATCAGAATGGTGCCAGTAGTTTCGACATAATCTTGAAAAATGTGTACAAAAATCATTTTTTCAACACCTTGTATCTTGATAACGGATGCCGTTACGAAATTGTTTTACTGAGAAAACCCAACTCATTTCAATCAAGATGGTCAGGTTTTTTTGAAACACCCTGTATATACACTGTTGATGGCTTTTGTTGTGCTATAGTTCCGAAAAATGAGTCAATAATACCGTCTCCGAGAAAGAACTGCAAGTCCATTTATCTTCCATTCGACTTCGCGGTTATTACTAAACAACCACTAAATTCAACCTACCCTAGTAAGGAGGTCAGGTTTTTTTGAAACACCCTGTATAACATTTCGTTATCACGTGACGGTCGAAATTTGCTGCCGGCTCTCCTACTATCAGGAAGGTTCATGGTAATTAAATTGTTGATGTAATGATGATACTTTTCAGACGTCTTTTATGCTCCTGTTACTTCTTCTAGCCAAGGGTTGGGCAGTCACGCGCCTTGAGTTGACATGGAAACCATTAGTATTTGCAATTTGGCTATGCTATGGGATTGTACATATACTGCTTTATGTTTGGAACTTGGTAAGTCTATCTTCCACATTTTGTAGGAGAGAGAATTCGCTGTTTTTACCGGCTCTGTAGCAGAATAGCGTCAGTCAAAATAGCGCTTCAAAAATAGCGCTGCGACAAAATAGCGCTGGACAAAACAGCGCCGCACAAAAATAACGCAGATCTAAAACAGCGGTGGACGAAATAGCGCTGGACAAAACAGCGCCGCACAAAAATAACGCAGATCAAAAACGGCGGTGGACGAAATAGCGCTCGACAAAATAGCGACATGACATAACAATTAGGAATTTTTCCTCGGTGCATTATCACGACAATAAACTGTTTATCATGAGGATTAATCAATACATGAACTAATGCCGGTGATCGACTATTGGGAAGATAATTACGTTGGTAAGAGGATTCATAATATCAACCCTCGATTCAGTATAAATTTATGGAATCAATATGAGCGGGTGAAAAACGATTTGCCAAAAACAAATAATTCCCTTGAAGCATGGCACAATTCCTTACAGAAAGGTCTAAACTGCCAGCATCCTCATGTATACAAATTGATCAATCAATTGAAAAAGTCTTCAGAAATCTTCGTTACAAGATACCGTTCAGGATTTAGAAAAAAAAAGTCCTAACAAGAAATACGTCCAGCTAAAAAACAGGTTGAAAACCTTGGTTCAAACGTATGCTTTCAATAACGTTGAACAGTATTTACTGTCTGTGGCTCATAATTTAAGAAGAAGAATATAAGAATATTTTACCCGGCGTTATTTAGTCGCAGTACTATTTGAACCGACGCCATTTTGTCCGCCGCTGTTTTTTTTCTGCGTTATTTTTGTGCGGCGCTATTTTAACCTAGCGCTATTTCGTAGCGCTATTTTGTCCAGCGCTATTTCGACTGACGCTATTCTGCTACAGAGCCGTTTTTACCAGCTTTTATTTGGCTTCCCCTTGTAGCATGTTTGATATACATCCTGTATGATAGGAGATTGAATTATGTTGGTAGCTAGGTGTCAGGTTGTCAGGTAACGAGAAATGATTAGAGAGGGTTTTTAGACAGATGTCGGGCAGACGTCTAGAGACGTAAGATTTTCTACTAACTCTAAAAACTACGTTTGTACCCCCTGAAGTTTTGAATAAACAACAAAAAAGCAAAAGTTATATTCTTTGTAAGAAGAGACTTGTTTCACCCTGTATTCGGAATTCAAACGGTCAGTACTGTCAGTGAATCTACTGACTCTGCTGAAAATCTGTATTCCGGAATATCGAGTCATAGGCTATATTCCGAATTCAACTGGTCAGTACTGTCAGCAGATCCACTGACTCTGCTGAAAATATGTGTTCCGAAATGTAAAATCAGTGCTTTAATTCGAAACACGTTTTCATGGTTTCCATCAGTAGTCAGCAGCAGTTGATCAGCTGGTGAAATTTGTCAGTATGTAGTATCTCGTTCATCTGAACTAGATAATTTAGCCTCCTGCTTGACATACATTTTGGAGATATAATATTTAACATGGAAGAACAATCGGTTCTTGTAGCCTTCATAGTTTCTTCGATTGTTGACGATGACGATTCAAGCTCGAGTGATGAAGAATTCTTGGACATTTATGTAATATGGCATCAATGATGATGAATTCAGGAAACATTTCAGGTTTATTCAGATATTCATTTACCCAATGCTGCTTCTTCTTTCGTTACCTCTCTTCTACTTCATACTCTATATAGCAATTTCAGCAGAATGTTGAGTCGAAATATTTGGAATGAATAGTATAGCTGCTCACAAGCATCTGTCACATTCAGTGATTTTTTTAATTTCGGAATGAAAAATCAGTAGATTCAGTACTGTCAGTTGAATTCGGAATATAGCCAAAAATACAGTTTTTATCAGTAATCAGCAACAGTTGATCAGCTGAAATTTGTCAGTTGTCAGGTTGTCACTTCGGTAGTGTTCCGATCATCTGGCCAATTATTTCAATAACAGGCATTTTCTTATATTAAAAATGATATCAACGTATTATTGATGAGAGAAGACTTGAGGTTTGAAAAACAACGGAAATAAATGTGACATTTCATCTCGTTCTAAAATAATGACAGTTCACTGAATTCAGTCAACAATTTCAGCAGAATGTTAAGTCGAAATATTTGGAATGAATAGTATGTCTACTCACAAGTATCTGTCAATTTCAGTGAATTTTTTTGATTTCGGAATGAAAAATCAGCTGATTCAGTACTGTCAGTTGGATTCGGATTATAGCCTAAATATGACACACTTCTAAACATCTGATTGATTTGAAATTTTTGTTAGAGAAATAAACAAGATGACGGATGAGTTATGTAATTATGATCCGTTTCTATTCAAAATTGGTATATGGGGGTTTTTGGGTTCCGCAATTACCATTCTTCTGTCAAAACTGGTATATCATAACCTCGAAAGATGTCGAACAGCACTTTATCAAGACTCCTTCATCCATAGAACGGCTAGGCTCTGGAATTCATTGCCTGTGGAAGTATTCCCAACAACATATTATAATCTCCAGAAGTTCAAAAAAAATTCCAATACCTACCTTCTGTCCCTATCCTCCCTAGGAACGCACGATGTTCTTTGAACATTATAGGGATTCCCTTTCGTGCGCTCCAAGCGATAAAAAAAATTCAAGAGGGCGACTCCAATATGGCGGACGAGTTTTGTAATTATGATCCGATTCTATTCAAAATTTGTATCTGGGGGTTTCCGGGGTCGGAGATTATAATTCTTGGAAATTGAAGATGGCGGATCCAATATGGCGAGGGAGTTTTGTGTAACTATAATCCGATTCTTTTCAAAATGGGTATCTGGGGCTTTTCTGGGTTGAAAATTATGATTCATCTATCAAAATTGAGAAATTCGAGGTGGCGGCTTCAAAATGGCGGATCAGTTTTGTGATTATGGTTCGATTATATTCAAAATTGGTATTTGGGAGCTTTTTTTGTCGAATATTTTCACAATTATATAGGGATGCACCGGAATTCCGGCGGTACCACTAAATCCGGCCGATCCGACCAGTTGGCCGGAACTACCGGAAAATCTGAGAAAGATATTGTTCTCGATATCACATTTGTTTCAAATTTTTAGCATTACAGTTTTTCAAGTTGAAACCCTTTCTTGAATTAATGAATTCTTATTTTCAGACTGAAGTCGATATAATTGAAGACATAGATGAATACCAAACGTGGCCAGGTTGGTTGATAATTGTTTTCAGAACGCTGATTATGATATGGTTTCTGTACGAGTTACGTACAACGATGTTGTATGAACATAACACGCAGAAACTCAATTTCTTACTTCATTTCGCAGCATCGAGCCTGGTTTGGTTCATATATTTGCCAATTTTGGCATTGATAGCCCTACATGTATCTGCTCTATGGAGATTCAAATTTTTACTAGGTGAGTATGAAAATTATCAAAGGGTCCTTTCAATTTCATACAGGGTGTTTCAGATTTGAATGTACATACGATCCCTGTGAATAGAGGACACTTTGATGGTTCTAAATCAGCCCCCATTGATGTGTCTACCGTCTTTTATAACTGATGACGAATGATCACGTCACTGTGACGTCCCTTATTGGTGTTTTTTCGTCAGAGACGTCACACACCAATTTATGACGTCACTATGACGTACTTTCTATGACGTGATAATCACGTCATCGTTTTAACGTCGAGTGAACGTCACTTAGATGGGTAAAAGAAGACGTCAGTTTCATGACGTTGCAGGGACGTCCTGTCGACGTCCATTTTTCCCAGACCTTCTCTAAACCATGGATACTTATATATTATCATGTGAAACAGAAGTATAACTCATGAAAGCAAATCGACATGCAAGTTTCATTCTAATTATTAATATACCCGAAAAGTAGTAGAAAAACTTTTTTCTAAAAAACTTTGACACACTGTATATCTCGGAAACCAACAAGCTATGTATACAATATAAAAATGATTGTTCAGGTATACCTATATTGAAACCGTTACTCTTATGACGTTGCAGTGACGTATCTATGACGTCTAAAAATCACGTCAGTGTGACGTACCAGTTTGGTGAGCTTCGTCATTTAGGCAATTTTTCAATAATTTGCTATTTAGATTTTTGTTGGGTGACAAAGAATGCATCAATATACATTATTCAACAAAGTGAAGCCAAATTCGCCAACATCCTTTCCATTGCTATCGAACTATTATTTGTTTGCTTACATCTCGCCGACACAAACTACATAATTTTTTATACAAATACGAGTAACTGATTGCATTCTGATGGAGATGCGTACTGAAGGATGGCGCTGCTGAATAGGCGATTGAATGAACATGACACAGGAGGGACCCACCAAGCAGACTCAACAATGCATAATCAATGTTATATAATGTCATCAGAGGCAGTGGTGTTTATCACACCATGTTGATGGAATCTTTTTTACGTATCATCGCCAAATTCAATCGTCATTTTGACGTCATTATGACTTCAGTCGGACGTCACAGTTTGGTGAGTGAATGACGTCAATACGACGTGAGTAATATGACGTCATTGGGCTGTGACTTATTCACGTCATTATCACGTCAATGCGACGTCAACTACTGACGTCACCTTGGTCATTCAAGTGACGTAAAAAAGACGTCACTTGAACGTCATCTGGTTGCCTGATTAGATACAGGATGTTGATTTTAGCAAAATCTATCTGGTCATAATTTTTTAACCACTATAATCTATTTATACTTGGTAGATAAATTTCACTTACATCATCCAAGAAAACAAACTGGAAAATGAGATTGGAATCTTGGTCTGTCTCTAGGAAAAACAGAAAACTTCTATTTCAAAAACAACCCTATGGCAAAATGTTTTAGATCTGTTTCGATATCTGAGTCGAGCGAGAAAAAATTAATAGTCATCAACTTTTTTCGAGCCTGCATCCACTTTGACTGATGTTTTATCATTATTTTTTGAAATATTCAGCTCGATAATGAGGCATTTTCATTTAATTCGTCATCCAAAATCTAAATTAATACAAAAAAAATACCAATTTTCAAAGGACCCCGCAAATTTTCAAGGTAATTTGGGTCCCGGTGGATTTTTCTCAATTTTTGGTATGACGTAGTTAATTTGATTCAATTACATATTGGCATTGCGCCAACCCCCAAAAATGAACAGTTTTTTTGCTAGGGGGGGTTGAATTCACATTTTGACCGAATTGATTATTTATTTCTGAGGCAATGAACAATATTCTAGAATTTTTTATTTCATCTAATTTCTCCTATGAATATATGCTTTTTGAAAAAAATATAGTGAGGGGGAATTATTACCCCAAACTCCCATTTTGAAAAACGAAAAAAAAAAAAGAGAATTCGCCTAACCGTCAAAAGTGATAGAAAATGTTCCATTACCCAGAATTATGGAAACCGCCTTTTTGTATTATTGCCCCTCACCGAATGGGAGGCGCCCATGAAAAAAAAGTTCGGTGGATTTCGCTGAATTTTGATATGATGTACTCTATATGATACTGATCAGAAAATAATTGGGTGACAATCCTGAAAAATGGACAGTTTTCCTGCTACAGGGGGTTCAATTCACATTTTGAACACATAAATAGACTAGATGAGTACCTATTTGATTCTGAACTTCTTTTCAATATATCATCTCCATTCCCTATATTCCCTAACAATTATTCATCAAAAAATATTTTGAGGGGGGGGGGTTCCTACCCCTTCAAAAAGTATTTTGAGAAATATAAAACAAAAAAAACAGTGTTACTGTATCTAAAGAGCATAAAAGAATGATTAACTACGTGAAATTATAACAATATAGTAAGTAATAATATGTATTTGATATCAACTCTTGCAAGTTAATCCGGTATACCGTGATTTAATGTAGATATTGTGCCTAATTTCCGAAAATGGAGGTTTATCATACTTGTTCACAGGTAACTAATCCTTCAGGTTGGGAAAGTAAGATATATAAAAGTTAAGCAAGCCAACGTTAGTTTAGTTCATTGTACCAGTATATCACCTGACGAAGCTACTGTGTTAGCGAAACATGTCGTGTGTTTCAGAATTTTGTGGAAATCTTATCGTTTGTGAAGTTTTTACATTTTTTATGGATTTCCTTCAAGTAACGGCCGAGTCAATTCAAAATAATGTAATTATGTAAATACTTTTCTAAATAAAGCTTGGCTTGAAAAAAAAATGGGTCAGCGTAGCCTCGTGATTAAAGCGTCTATGTTCTATCCACGTTGAATTACCGGTAGTGGTTTCGATTCCCACCACGACCGCAGAAATTTTTCTGATGGCCTAAGAAAGTGTTTGGGATCACACGTTAAAAGATAACACCCCCGTCATTCCTTGCTCGCACAAGTCCCTTGAAGACTTCTGAGGGTTGCTCGTAAGGGGGCAACCGAATGATGGATAAGAACAATTTTTTTTAGACCGCCTGTACATAAAGTGAAAATCCACATTCTTCCAGGTATAACATATTCGGCAGACTGCTTTGCCTATTGTGTCATGGCGCACCTATTGTGGCCGACCAGGTCTGAGCAGTACTTTCTTCTGAAAGGTCCCTCTTCTGCCGATCTCGAGGAACTCGATGAATTCAACGAGGCTCCGCACATCGTCAACAACTCCTACACTTCTATGAGCAGTATAAATTCTTTTGAAATATGTAAATACGATGATCCGCAAAAAACGAAATTAATCTTAGACTGACTCAAGAAGATTACCGACGGTCAAAATGCAGTATTTTGTATCTTCAATTTTTGGCATTTTATAATGTACAGGCAACAGGGTGATTGGTTATACAAGCTAGGTCTTTCAGAGATGTGATGACAAAGCCTAGGGTAGATTATTTTCAACAAAATATTAAAAAAAGTTCATATTATAAACATAGGTCCGAAAATGCTTCATTTTCGAGATATAGGGCGTCCAAGTTTTAAAAAAATGTGTTTTTCTTGGACGCAGTTATACAAAATGGAACCAAGGGACAAGTAAGTTTCAAGATATCAAATCAGAATTCTAAATCTTGAACCACCCTGTATCTGTTCCGATTAAATATCAGTAAATATTGAATCAAAAGTTGAGCCGTTTCGACCGATAATGAATAGTTTTGACACAAAAAAATCCTAAAGTTGAAAAATCTCGATTTTGAACACCCTATATCTCTGTAATCTTTTTCGATAGACCCCAAGTGTGATGTATCGATATAATCAGCTCTTCAGGGAGAATCTAAAAATGCGATAAAATACAGGGTGTTCCATTTGAAATATCAATGTTGCTACTACTTTCTAGTAGAAGCGGCAACACTGCATTATCAAAAATACATTTTCATGAATTTCTCCCGACTGATTCTCGATATTAAGATAGTGCAAGCTCGTTGTGACATACCTTGTATAACCCATAGTCATAACCTACTGATAAAAGTTATGTCGGTGATATAACCTCACTTCACGACACTTTATGTCAAAGTGTTGTCACAGAACTCAAAGTTCCGGATGAGTTCCATCATGATAGAGATATTATAGAAAGACAGTTTGTTTCAATGTATTCAAAATTATACCAGTGTCTGCGTTTAGAAAAGTTTCAATATTTTGAACAACATTTTGATTCAATATACATATTTATATTTTCACTGTTTCCTGTGAAGTCAGCAAAAAATGAAACAAAGTATTGCACTTTCTCCGTCGTTATAATAGTCTTGAAGGTACCTACTCCTAACATAAAATATTTCCTTTGGTGATTTTCAATTGCAAGGATCTCTACATTCGATCAATCTTTTTGGTGAATTTTAATTGAAGGGAGTAAAATTTGTATCCTTTGGAGAGTATCAACTAAGTCTAGGTTAGGTTCTCAGTGTGTTTTGTGTGGCTTTGTATATTTGAAGATGGATGGTGTTCGCACAATTTATGACAAGGGAACGTACAGTTATAAAGATTCTGTACATACATATGAAATGTGATTCATTTAGGTTTTAAAAATTTATGACGTTCCTGTTCTTAGTCATGATGAGTATTTCGTTCTTAGATTCTTTTCACTCACATATTTATGACAAGAAACTATAATATGATTCTATAATATTTCAAGAAGCTATAATTTGAAATTGAGAATGAAAAAATTAAGTAGAGATAGTTGGTGGAACAGAACATACCATACAGTAAGTAGGTAAATCTTGTATTGGGCTTACTCTTTTTATTATTGATGATGATGATGTGACCGTTTATTTTTATGATTTCTAGTTAACAAGTAGCAGAACAAATTTCCTCTGCACAATAATTAAAATATACCTGATATCTGTCCGTCCATGAATATTTTTGTTTTTTGTCATAAATGTTTTGTGAGAAAATCTCTGTATGTCTCATGATGGTACTGTTGTTCTTGTGTTATCAGTAAAGTAGGTAATTCACATAATATTGAAACAGAATTTTATAGGTAGTTTTCTGCAGTCGGTTGCTATGAACAAGAATACTTGCAAATGTGTCAAATCAGCAAGGTTCTAATTTTTCCACAGTGAATGTTGAGCAGGCACTCTTAACCTACAATTATTATGTCATTCTATACACTTTCAATGTTTTACTTGACTGTGATTTCATTTATCAGTTCAAGAGAAGGATCTTTTATTCAAAATTATATTCTTACATAATTTCGTTTAGGTTCACCTCTATTTTTGTTTTGAGAATTTGTGATACATTTAATTTTATAGTTGTTATGATATACAGGGTGTTTCATAATTGAATGTCAATATTCGGGTAGGCGATTCTTGGGCCTATTCTAAGAAGAAACTTTCATATGAAAGTATGGCCTAAACGTCCTAACTTTTGAGATACAGGGTGGTAAAGTTCTCAAAAATTGATAGTTTTTTATTAATATCTGTGATACCACTTCAGATATTTTAATGAAATTTGGTATACAAGTTACTATGTATCAAGAGGCATCAGTTAGTGTACCACATTTTTTTTTGGTTGCCACCAGTCGCGTTTGAATGGAATTTCACATACCTATTTTGGCAGACATTGATGGTACGCCACTGATTAATCTCGAAATTGAAATCATTCCTGAAATTCCCAATCATTTCTAAGCAAATTTGATCATCACAATGTTTTTTTTCTGATGCACGATTTTCGCTTAAAAAAATAAAAAGCTTCTCACCAGACATGATTATAGCAATATCGTTAATATTACAATATCACAATGCAGAGAAATAGATTTTATTTTTTAGATCAAATTTCAGAAATACAATTCATAGTTTATGAACTTCGTATTCATATTTGGTATTTTGGAATTATAACTTGTCATATTGTATTAGGCTATATTGATTTTTGAGAACTTCACCACCCTGTATCTCAAAAGTTAGAACGGTTAGGTCATACGTTAATATGAAACTTTCTTCTTAGAATGGGCCCAAGAATCGCCTCCTCGAATATTGACATTCAATTATGAAATACCCTGTATAAATAAATACATTCCAGGTTACCCAGGAGGTAGAGATCTAGGTATGATGTGGAAGATTTACGTTTTCAAATGAATTAATCTTTCTTAATTTTTTTAAAAGTCTGGGAATTGTCTGAAATAAAAAAATAATCACAAAGTAAAAGCATGGTATAGGGTGTGTGCCTTTTTCTAGTTGAACCCTCCACTCAAGTTTTTCGATTTAGAATGTGTGAAAAAATGTTTCAGTTAAGACGACTCAGACTCTAAGCGTGGTCCTATCTCCTTGATCACCCGGTATACCTTGTTTTTTAGATTGCAATCTGTGCCAAGTTAAATAAGTAAGGGGAAACTTGGAGAAAATGAAATAGGAGTATTTGTACTTTTTATAATAGGTAATTTTTATATCCAAATGTGATCTCTGTATCTTTATGTCATATATATATATATACATCAATTATTTTTCATTAACCATAAGCAATTCATTATTGTGACTATCTGTAATCAAGCAATAGCATTGATTTACAATTTCCATTCGTTGATCCAATGTTCCCAATTTCATTCACATTATGTATTTCTCTTAGGTCTAGCAGTGGATGTGTGCACGATAAAATATACATGTTGAAATGTATGAATTGTTGAAGATTTTATGTACTGGATGATTCATGGAAACTATTGGTTATAAATGTATATAAATAACAGAATGACTGAATATCACTGAAAATTTCACAATAGTTATTTGATCTTTGGTAGAAGTCCATATTGCTCAAAGTGGATAGTGAAATATTTCACAGGAAGGAAGGAATGCTCGAAGTCATCTCCACAAATTTTAATGATATTATTACTAAATCATGAGGGACATGTTTCGGTCTTATAAAAGACCATCTTCAGCCTAATCGAAAGGTTTGGAGTTGAAAAAATTATTTTATTAAATGCTACTATTCCTTGAACTGTCAATGCCCATAGTCGAGAGTTCCAAGGTTCTGAATAAACGGGTTCTCAATAAATGAAGGGCCCCGTGCCCTGAGAGCGTTAACTATGTTTTATTAATTAACATTTCATATACCCAAAATGGTATATGAAGGGTATTGTCAAACAGTTTATTATCTGACAACACCATAAACTAGCTGGTTTTTAAAAAAGGGGTTCCCTGTTCCCTTATGAAGGCGTTATTTAAAGGCAAATATCAATAAAATTGATGGGGCAAGCAGCCAGCACGTGTTTTAATCTGGTTCAGAATCTCCCACACAGCAGAATTAATTCCTGATATTTTTTTCTCGGTTTTACTCATATTCTTGTTGATAAAAAATTTCCCTCGTATAATTCGAGTTTTGTTGCCTTCAGGAAATTCAACTCAAAAAACGACAAAAAAGAAGTTCTCTTGAATTGGAGATTGTCATATATACATTCTTTGCATTCTTTGAAATGCTAAAACTGCGAATTCACCTCTAACCTATCAGAGTGTGTTTTTTTTTTCATCAAGAAAATATTTCAAAATCTGTTCAGTAGGTGGTAGGTGCCTCTTCAATAATAGATCGTTTCACTATGCATTGAATTAAACATGTCATACAAATTCAATTGACTTACAGGATATATTTTGATTTGATTGATTTATAGTTGCTATTTTAGTAAAATGTATAGAATATTTGTGAGTACGCCACTGAGCAAATTTTAATTGTTTAAATTAACAATATATTAATAACATACCTGGAAGAGTGGATAATCTTTGTGGAAAGTTTGAATGTTGAATGACTATGAATGAATTATCGATATAAACCTGCTTGGATATAAAAATATTATGAAATTTTTGAAGTTATTGGTGTAGCCCTGAGGTGTAGCCTCAATGGGCACCTATAGTAGGCGACCTAGTACGCGAGGAGGTATTATATAGCTCCGCCTATTACCTAACTAGGTTGTCATTTCGAACGACTATGATGATTGATGGTATTTCATAAACTACTTTGTCCCATTGAGTTGATATTCATTCTATATTCATGTCTTTGTATTTTTCTAACCAATGATATTTTATTTTTTATTGCTATCTTGCAGTTACATACAGGAAGATTCAAAAGTAAGCGGCATCCTCTCAGAGGCGTAGTATTCCTTGCAAGAAAATAAGGTAAAAAGTTCCTATTGATAAGGGTCCGAAAATGCTTCCTAATGGAGCTACGCTCCTTTGAATACTTTGAATAGGCATCTTCATTAAGATGACAAATGACTAATCTGTGTTTACATCGCGCGCCCATTGTGGTTGACATTTGACAGAACGTCAATAAAAACCGCCATATTCGAAATGGCCAATCAGAATTTAGTGTCGGAACTATAGCCAATGAGACTTCACCTTCGCATTACCCAATCAAATTTTGGATCTAAAAACGAGCGCATGCGTCTTAAAAATGTATCTATATGAAAAGGCCTATAGGACACCTCAAAGACGATTTTTTCTCTTTAACTTGAAAATCCTTCACAATAAATTATCAAAAATTGCTGTACGGCATAAAAATTTCATGGTAAATAGGACTATGAATTCAAAATTTCAAAATTCTATTCAGGGGTGTCACATGCCGGGGAGGGTGAGTGTAAAAACGTCCCTTCTTTTTTTGATATTCAGGTTATTATTGTGATTTACGCAAATCAGAAGGTTTCAGAGTCGATTTTCTCATAAATGGTAGGTACCCTCTATCGAAATGAACTAAGAGTACCTTTTCACGTGAAAAATTCTAGAATTTTATAATTTTCAAACGAAATCACAATGACCTGAATATCAAAAGAAGAAGGGATGTTTTTACACTTACCCTCCCCCGCATGTGACGCACCTGACTGAAATTTTGAAGTCATAGCCTTATTTATCATCAAATGTTCATGCCGTACACCAATTTTCGAAAATGTATTATGACGGATTGAAGTTATAGAGAAAAAATCGTCTTTGAGGTGTCCTATATTCAAAGGGGCGTAGCTCCCTTAGAAAGCATTTTCGGACACTTGTTATCAGGAACTTTTTGCCTTATTTTCATGCAAGGAATGCGCCCCTGAAAGGATGCCGCTTACTTTTGAATCACCCTGTATATATTTTATTCTTTCAGCTCATATAAAAGATTTACATGCTTCAAATGAAATATTAAAATTCAAATAAGAGTATAAGTATAGGTTAGTCAATAATTTCTCATGAACATTTCTTATTTTCATCCCTTCTTAAATTGGGTTACTAATTCAATTCTATATACATTTATGTATACGGCCCCCCTTTAAATCTCAGCTATTATAGTCATGCGATCTTTACCAAATTTGGACCGGTATGAATACCTATCAATATACAGGGTGGGTCACGGTAGATGGCACCTTAGACGTTTACGGAGAACGGGACATAAGATCATTCTGAAAATTTGGTTACTCAAGTAATTGCTCTTGATCTATCGATCTAAAATATTTTCAGCTCTGCGGCGTTGCCGCTTCTATCGAAAAGTAGCAACAACTTTGTTATTTTAAATGGAACACCCTGTATTTTATTGCATCTTCAGATTCTCTCTGAAGAGCTAATTTCATCGATATATCACACTTGGGGTCTAGCGGAAATGATTACAGAGATATAGGGTGTGAAAAATCGACATTTTTCAACTTAAGGAATTTTTTTTGTCGAAACTATTCATTATTGGTCAAAACGGCTTACATGTCCCTATCTCAACTTTTGATTAACTATCTACTGATATTTAATTGGGACATATACCGGGTGATCAAGAATCTGAATTCTGCACCACCCTGTATTTGTTTCAATTAAATGTCAGTAGATAGTTGATCAAAAGTTGGGATAGGGACATGTGAGCCGTTTTGACCAATAATGAATAGTTTCGACAAAAAAAATTCCTAAAGTTGAAAAATGTCGATTTTTCACACCCTATATCTCTGTAATCATTTCCGCTAGACCCCAAGTGTGATACATCGATGAAATCAGCTCTTCAGAGAGAATCTGAAAATGCGATAAAATACAGGGTGTTCCATTCAAAATAACAAAGTTGTTGCTACTTTTCGATAGAAGCGGCAACGCCGCAGAGCTGAAATTATTTTAGATCGATAGATCAAGAGCAATTACTTGAGTAACCAAATTTTCAGAATGATCTTATGTCCCGTTCTCCGTAAACGTCTAAGGTGCCATCGACCGTGACCCACCCTGTATATGATCAATTTGTCAGAGTATACCATCATTTTATAAGTTGGCGTGCCATGTTATTAAAATGAATAGGGGTACATATTTTATGAAATCATATTCGCCATAGAAAATAAGCGTACGCCATCTATTGGAGTATTTCGAAGCTGTCGAAGCGGCCTGTTTACTTTGTTTTCATTGGTTCACATTTGTTTCTTGTTTCTGCTTATTGGTCGGTCACATCCATCAAAACAAACTACTCAGAAGTGTTCAAATGTTGCCGTCAGGTGGGGCGACGTGTTATTTTCTATCACGAATTGGGATTTTTTTACAGGAAACTGACCTTATAATTTTGTTCTTCATGGTTTCAAACCCCCATACCTAAATTATCACATAATTCCTAAAAAGGGTTAAAAAAAAAACAGGCACATCTAAAGAGCATTTTTGTGACTCAATGGTGAGTTCAACTTAAAATAGTAGGTATATATCTCCTTGCTTTCTTTCAAATCATGATTTTCTTCCTACCACAGCCATATTGAATGTTCCAAAATTAGCATTTTATTTGCATTCACTAATTTTTCATAGCTGAAAATGAAAAACACTAAGCCAATCCTGTTGATTCGATTTTTTGCATATGATATGAAGGAGCTAAAGGATGAAGAAAAAATAATATGAAGTTGTTCTCTTGCCAAAAAATACCTAATAGGAATGATTTCATAAAAATCGAACCCTTTTTATTTTAATTGTTCATTCTTCTCTGAAAAATGATTGACAGAGGACTATAATAGCCAGATATAGATTGAGGGGCCGTTTAAAGTGAGACATGCTGTATATATATATATATTTATATACTTTCCCATAATTTTCATTTTAACACTGATTGGAGTTTGTGTCTTAGATTTTGTCAATTTAATGAAACACATCAATGAATTTTGTGAAGTTTTATTGTACAAATGCAACTATTCTTGTAACACAATTATAACAATTTGAGGTCACCAGTTAAATCATCTATTTCATTTACCTTATTAGGACCTATCCCCACAACAGTAATAGTACCTGGTTCTACTTGAGTCCTGCCTGCATCTCTTACAACACAAACATTCAATTTATATTCTTTGGCTCTAGAAACAATATATTGCACTTTTTCCTCACAATTAATTTTAAGGATAATCTTTGGTTGGCCTAGGAGCATCCAGGATTTCAAATGTGGATTGGAGTTTTCTATACCTGACTGATATAATGAAACTGCTGCATGTGCTACTTGGGAAGCTATTTTTCCACGCCCCATCTTTAAATCCTCACGAACTATGATCACCATTTTAGTAGATTCAAAACCTATCAAAGTCTTCATTAGATGAACTGCCATATTCATAATGAACTTGAAATATACACTATATATCATTCTGTGAAGTTTGGTCAAACTATATTGTTTTTAGTTTTCGATCTTGATAGTCTTGCATACACTTTTTGAAATCAGAAACATGATCCTGACATTTTCTCCAATCTTGAGTGTCTGCAATGCACATCTGAAACAATTAATGGATCAAGGACATAGTTTGTGATTAATTAATGTGAATGCAACCTGAACTTTATAGTGCAATTCTATGCAACCAGTTTTTTTGAGCATTTCTTCCACTGGATCTGTTATTTCTTGTTTGCCGTGGGATGATGGCATCATTGGTTGGAGTCAGGATCCACCTTTGTTGGAGTCGAAGATCTAATGATAGCCTTGATATCCAAATAAAATAAAACCTTTCATGGCTTTAGATGAAAAAAAGTTGTGATTATGACTATACTGATAGTGCCTTCTGGTATACTAGAGCCTAGCCATAGCACCAGTGCGAGAATATTGCGCCTGGTGCGCAGGTCGCATGAATGACTTCATCATACTTTTTTCTTGAAGAAGGAGAATTTTTCTTGAGGAAGGAAAATATTGTTTCTGCATAAAAAATGAGAAAACCTAACCTATCTATTTTATGAGTATATCTGTACTTGTTTCGTTGACCTGTGTAAAACTTGATGTTTATTAACACCAAATAAAATATTCTAGAAGGAGAATTTTTCTTGAGGAAGGAAAATATTGTTCCTGCATAAAAAATGAGAAAACCTAACCTATCTATTTTATGAGTATATCTGTACTTGTTTCGTTGACATGTTTGTGTAAAACTTGATGTTTATTAACACCAAATAAAATATTCTATTCTATTCTAACCTAACCTAACCGAACCTCACCTCTGGCCTAAACATAGAAAACCCCTAAATGAACCTATTTCCCATAGAGAATATTTTTTAGAAATCACTTGCGAACAAGAAAAAAATAAAAAAAAGATGAGCCTCGCACGGATTCGAACCCCGGCCCGCCGGCTTGGCATGCCGATGCTCTGCTTACTGAGCCAACCAGTTGCTTACGAGACGAAGTATGATGAAGTCATTTATGCGACCTGCACACCAGGCGCAATATTCTCGCACTGGTGCTATGGCTAAGCTCTAGTTTCTGATATTACTTGCCTTCTGCTATCTCGAAAAGTTTGGTAAAAGGGTAGGGTAAAGTCAAGTAAAGTAGGGTTACCTTTTACATTGGTTAAATTCTCATAACAATTCTTCTTTTTTGGTGAGAATTGTGCCTACGATCCAACTTCGAGTAAATGTTCAGGGTTATGCCAGAAAAAAAATTAGAAGAAGAGGTATGAGGTGGGTAGAGTACTACCTAGAACATGATGATTATCGAGGTACTCTAGTAAGATAGATAGGTTGTCTCTGATTATTTCTTTTATTCGTCTGAGGTCACATATTATGGTATTTATTATGATTATTTGAATATTCATTATTTCCGACTTTCAAGGGTTTTTCCACTCTCTGGATTTCTGAGTCATTCCAATCTCGAATTTGAAATTCTGTCTGTCTTGAGTCTAGAGTACTACCTAGAGCATGATGATCATCGAGGTACTCGAGTAAGATAGATAGGTTATGTCTTTAGTTATGTTATTTATTATGATTATTTGAATATTCATTATTTCCGACTTTCAAGGGTTTTTTTCCACTCTTTGAATTTCTGAGTCATTCCAAACTCGAATTTGAAATTCAGAATTCGGTACTTTTCATTTCCAGATTTAACTTCGTCGATGTCATCTAATAATATCGTCGATGACGGTGGAGAGGATAGGAAAACTATTATGGTGAAAACGTGACGAAATGATTGGAAATGTTGCATGAAAATAGCAAAAATAGAGGGGACTAGACCTTGTGCCTGATTTAGCCTGATATCTTATGACGTGTAGCATGAATGGTGTGATGGGTGTGGGAAACACACCTCCCTAATACTGAGACTGGATAGGTTGCAGAAGTTACTAACACTCTCAAAGATAAAAGTTGGTTTCAGTTTATCTACAGAAGCTGTGACTATAGTTTGTAAGTACTTAACTACTCTTAGTTTGATATTAATTTTCATAAATATTTGGGCTATCCTGATTATTTCACCTGCAATTTATTATTTCAGTAAATAAATACTTTCAACAATGATGCTCAATAGAGGAAGTTTCTCAGATCAATCAGTAGAACCTCTTATTGGAGTGATTGATGCTGGAACAAGGACAGTTAAATTTTGTGTATTCAGGACTGAACATACTAAAGAAGTTGCTAGGTACACTGTAGATATAGCAACACATACTCCTGAGGAAGGATGGTCAGAGCAGGACCCCAAAGAAATACTCAGTGCCATAAGGACTTGTATGGAAGAAGTTGTGAAATCATTAGGACATCAAGGTAAGACCATACTGAAAGTGTTTGTGAAAATGTCATAATTATGCATGATTTTCATTTATCTGTCTGGATATCTATTGAATATATAGAGGTACTGAGGTACTTGACCATGACAGGTTGAAGGACTGGTTCATAATTTAAACTGATAAAAAACAAATTTTTGTGATGTTATCAGTATCATTACCCTCTGCTGGATATCTTACTGAACTGTGTATAAATTCCAATGTGATAAACAAATAACATTTTCTGATAACATCATGAGCCTGTCTCTTGTATTTTAGAACAAAAAAACAATTTTCGACACTGTATTCTTGATATTTGTAGTTAATATCTGTTGTTACAGACTCTTATTCTGCATATAAGTTTGTATACCTACTATACTTACATTTCATGTTTGCTTCTTGCCAGATATAAATGGATAATATCAAAGAAAAAATTCAATATTGAATTTTGAGGAATGTTTGCAGGAATAGCATGAGTCACTTGATGATAATTAGAGGTACATTCATACTTTTTTGTCTCATGAAAATGAAAAAAACAAGTCTCAAAAGATGATCAAAACAGCAAAATAACCCCCTCCCAATCTTGCTGAAAGCTGTATAAAATTTGAATAATAAAGGTCTGATATGTCAGGTGGTCTCAAAATTTTATTTTTTTATTTTTTTCTAAATTCAAGATTTTTTGTCCATTATTTCATATAATTGAACCCTGAACTATATTTCATTTCTCCCATTTAACTAATCTAAATACATGAACTCAAATTTGGATAGCCAGTCAAACAATTGTCTGAATATTTTCTTGTATCACCTGTGCCAATATTTTTTTTAGATTTTGAATAGATTGTTCATTTCATTATTATATGTATGGGTGCTAATATAGGTAGTTGTTTATTTTTAAACAAGTCAGACGTCAGACATGATATTTAATGATTATAAAAATAAATTTGGATGTTCAATATCTGGACAGTGATTTATGTTTTGAGATCACTATTAAATCTTTCATCATATATATTCCTGATTTTTAGATAATCTGATACCAGTGGTACCTATACAAATTGTACCTTTATTCATAACTATATTTATAGATATATCTCAATTTCCTATTTCCACTGTATGCATAAAACAGTGAGAAAATTCTGTGCAGCTAACTGAAAATATAAAATTGGAGAAAATAAAATGTACCACACTTTCAAGCAGTGTGATCAAGTTTTACTACCATTATCTCTTTCAATTACCATTTGCTCTTGAACGGTTCAGTTTTAAATTTTTTCAGAGAAAATGTTAATATTTATATTGTTCTCCAATATAGTGAGTGAGCATTAGGAGCATATAACATTTTAATCAACATACTGGGTGATATGTACTTTGAGGAATGTTGGTAACAAAATGAATAGAACTTTTTTCACTATGTCACTGACCAAATTCCAATACATTAATTTTGACTGTCTTGATTACTTTCACTATTGGTTTGTAGGATATTTGAAAATGATAATAATAATAATTTGTGGAAAAATTCATTCAAAATTTTGAACATTTACATTATTGATTTCATTGGAAAGGCATATTCTCAGATATATTATGAACATGCAAAAACATTAATTATTTCTCAGTATATTCAACAGAAAACAACTACTTTATTGATATCACCAATTTCCCAAGAAAAATAGGTAGAAACCTGCAAGAATTCAATAATTTCAAAGGGCATTAAATGGGCTTTCTAAATTGCATTGAATTAAATTTCATGATCATCTGAAATGCTTTTTCTGAAATTTTTTTCCCGTTGCATCAGAAAATACAGGGTGCTCGGAACAAACGATCTACAGAGTACTACTTGATTTTTTCGAATTCAACACCCTGTATTTCACTGTATTCTTAGATTCTCCCTGAAGAGCTGATTTCATCAATGCATCACACGGGAATGATTACAGAGATATAGGGTGTTCAAAATCGAGATTTTTCAACTTAAGAATTTTTTTGTGTTGAAACTATTCATTATTGGTCAAAACGGCTTCAATGTCCCTATCTCAACTTTTGAATTACTATCTACTGACATTTAATTGGAACATATACAGTGTGGTTCAAGATTCAGAATTCTGATCACCCTGTATCTGTTCCAATTATCAAAAATGTCAGTAGATAGTAAATCAGAAGTTAAGATACGGACATGAAAGCCGTTTTGACCGATAATGAATAGTTTCATCACAAAATAAACCTAAAGTTGAAAAATCTCGATTTTGAACACCCTATATCTCTGTAATCATTTTCGCTAGACCCCAAGTGTGATGCATTGATGAAATCAGCTCTTCAGGGAGAATCTAAAAATACAATGAAAAATAGGGTGTTCCATTTAAAAAAACAAATAGTACCCTGTAGAGTGTAGATCATTTGTTCCGAGCACCTTGTATTTTCTCATGTAGCGGAAGAAAAATATCGAAAATCATTTTAGATGATATTTAAAATTTTGCAATCGGTTCAAAAATGACTGAGCTAGAGGGGGGGGACATTTATGGTGAATCACCCTGTACCTCTATTTTACTCAATATAATTTAGATGATTCAGATTATGTAATTGTTTACAGAGTGAACCAACAATATTATAGTGATGTGTGAAAAGCCGATGTGTTGATGAAATATTGATTACATCATGAATCACATTTCATTCAGGATGGTTTGAAAAATTGGTGACACATATGACTGATTTATTCATACCCATCCTGTATATTTAAGTGAATTGTTATTTCTTTGGGATATATAGGGTGATCATGAAGATTTTCGTTAATGAAAATGTAAAAAAATGTGTTTTTTCAAATCACCCTGTTATTCATGATTAACTCGGTGACATTCCCTAATTATTTTATAATATATTCATCATTCGCTCCTCAACACTGTCTTAAAAATTCAGTTTCCTATCAGGTACGTTAATGATATGAACACGAAAAATTGCACTTGGCACCAAAATAATTGAATTAAGAATTTCCGATTTGTAACTTTAACGCCCTGTATTTCAGAATCTGTTCATCAAAGAACTTTACGAGTCTGCAGGTTCAATCAGTTCATTGAATTCTACAACATACTGATAATTCAGAAAATTTCACCGATAACCATTTTACATACTAAAAGTGCGGGGTCCCCTTTGATGTATTTATTTCGAAACATCCTGTATAAGTCTCACCGATATTAGGTACTTATGAAATGCAGGTTGGCGTAGCAATATTAACAACTGGCATCATCAACATCGATATCGGTTGGAGGAATTGCATTGTCTGTTCAATTACCGTTACTAGATGGTATTACTTTTGTCATTTTCTATTTTCTATATTACAATGGTTTGAGCGAATAAAATAATAAGACATATATTCTGCTCTTTGTCTTTTCAATTGCACTAGTAGCACCTCATTGTCAGATACGATTTTAGAAGTTGGATTTTCTGCCAAATCAATCATAGCCGTAGAGGGAAAATAAAAATAGTGATAAACGCCTACTTCAATTCATAGCGGTACATTTTTCGCAGGACAACATGAAACATGAAAATAATGCATGTAACAACATCTTAATGTGACAAAATAGACACATATGGATATACTTATAGGTAGCTAATTCCTTATTGTATGTAAAACTGTACTCGAGTGATGAAGTTTAAAACATGAAGATTGTTTTAACCACGTTCTGCTGTATTCACTGATACATTTTGAATTTGGTCGGCATTGAAAACGTCATTCAATGATATATCACTTTACAATTTACTTGATTTCCTCAGTTTCGTTCTCAAATTTTTAATTTAATTGCGTAGTTTCGCAATCAATTCCTCTTTCTCAATGATATGATGATAATATTGGAATTTGTTTAATAGTCTGTTTTGTAAATTAATGGAACAGCAGATTCTCTCAAACGGATCTTAATATCTTATGTTTGAAAATGGGCCTAAAATATAAGTTCATTCTAATCTGCTGTTATAAGAAGGGAATTTTAATGTATGTACAGTTGTGTGCATTAACAAGTCGTACAGTAGTTATAGGCTATTGTGAGTCAGGCTTGTCCTTCTTGATAATTCTTCTTAACGACTTTGACAAGCAGTGTCAAAATTCAAACTATTTTTGTCAGTAACACGCAAATGTGTACAGGGTATCCCACATAACATGGGCCACCCCCTTATCTGGTAAACTATTATATATACAGAAAGAAGTTCAGAATAAAAGTTGTATTACTTCTTATGAAATTTATTTTTTAGATACTTTCATTTATACAGGATGGTCCATATGTCTGTGACTTATCACACATACGTTTTTTCAAATAGAATACCCTATATTTTATTATATTTTTAGATAGTACTTAAGAAGACGAGTTCAATGATATATAATAACATGGGTCTGAGATCACCCGTTTCGGATTTATACACGATCTTCTTCAATAAATTGCCAAATTTCGAAGCCCTATAGAAACGTTGCGAATGAAGTTTCCGATTCGCAGTTTCCGCTATAAATTAACAAAGTCTGTATATTATTCTGTTCCATGGTGGAAATTTAGGAATTTTCAATTTGCCAAAAGTGATGACGTATTTTGAAAACCAATAAATATCTCGAGATTTTCAAATGGAACACCCTATATCCCATTCCAAATTTGCATAGAGCTCAGGAAGACGAGTTCAATGATATATCATAACATGTGTCTGATATCACCCGTTTCGGACTTATACACGATCTTCTTCAATAAATTGCCCAATTTCAAAGCCCTATAGAAGCGTTGTGAATGAAGTTTTCGATTCGCAGTTCCCGCTATGAATTAACAAATTTTGTATGTTTTCTTGATCCATGGTAAAAGTTTATGAATTTCGCATTGGCCAAAAGTGATGATGTATTTTGAAAAACGATAATTTTTTACAAATTTTCGAATGGAACACCACCCTATTTCATTCCATCTTTGGATGAAGCTCAGAATGACGAGTTCAATGATATATTATAATATGGGTCTGAGATCACCCGTTTCGGACTTATACACGATCTTCTTGAAAAAATAATCAAATTTCAATGGCAAAATTCTGACTGTTATCTTCATATTAGATAAAAATTTTGTAATTTCTGTGAAACAATTCGTAATAAAGAGTTTTGAAATAAACGAATATTATCGAAATTTTTATGTAATGTTATACTATTATTTCACTGGAAAACATTTTGGAAATGATTGCGCACAGGTTATTACAATTAAATTTCACCTACATTTGACTGTATACGAGACCAATGCGGGAATATTCAATTAATAAAATGTATTTGAACATTTTTTTTGATTGTCTGCCTTATCAATTCGGATGCATTGCAATAAATGTCATTTCCTCATGAAAATCGTATATCTTTCATACTGTTCAACATTTTTCATTGAATTCTCAATGAATAAACACTGGACATAAGTAAATGATCGAAGAGAAAACCAAAACTCAAAGTGGAATGACATGCCAACGTGAGCTGAGTAGGCTGTGCACTCATAGATGGGATTTTTGTTTATGTCATATCAATAACTGTCAAACCCGATTATTTATTGTTGAATTGGTGCAGAGAAACTCTTTCAAAATGCATATTTATTCTAAAGGAGAGAGATTTGATCTTTATGAGTGCTATTTATTAAAAAACAGAAATACTTTGCTGGCTTTGAGAGAATATCGTGACCGTTTTCCACAAAGTGTCGTACCAAACAAAAAGATATTTCAGAGAATAGAGAACGATATCCGAACAAAAGGTATTCTCAAACCGAATAAGAGAACTAGAGGAAATGTAGTTTTGACCGAAGATCGTGTATAAGTCCGAAACGGGTGATCTCAGACCCATGTTATTATAGATCATTGAACTCGTCTTTCTGAGTTATATGCAAATATGGAATAAAATATAGGGTTTTCCATTTGAAAATCTCGAGATAATTATTGGTTTTCAAAATACGTCATCACTTTTGGCTAATCCAAAATTCCTAAATTTTCACCACAGAACATGATAATATACAGACTTTTTCAATTTATAGCAAAAGTTGCGAATCGAAAACTTCATTCACAACGTTTCTATAGGGCTTTGAAATTAGACAATTTATTGAAGAAGATCGTGTATAAATCCGAAACGGGTGATATCAGACACATGTTATGATATATCATTGAACTCGTCTTCCTGAGCTCTATGCAAATTTGGAATGGAATATAGGGTGTTCCATTTGAAAATCTCGAGATATTTATTGGTTTTCAAAATACGTCATCACTTTTGGCAAATTGAAAATTCCTAAATTTTCACCATAGAACAGAATAATATACAGACTTTGTTAATTTATAGCAAGAGTTGCGAATCGAAAACTTCATTCACAACGTTTCTATAGGGCTTTGAAATTAGACAATTTATTGAAGAAGATCGTGTATAAATCCGAAACGGGTGATCTGACCCATGTTATTATATATCATTGAACTCGTCTTCTAAAGGACTATCTAAAAATATGATAAAATATAGGGTGTTCCATTTGAAAAAACGTATTTGTGATATGTCACAGACATATGGATCATCCTGTATAAATGACAGTATCTAAAAATAAAATTTCATGAGAAGTTATACAATTTTCATCCTGAACTTTTTTCTGTATATATAATAGTTTACCAGATAAGGGGGTGGCCCAAGTTATGTGGGATACCCTGTACGCGTACTACTTTTTAATGAAATCTGAAACATCATAGGCAGGTTTACACTATATAAACCTTGTACGACTTGTTTTTGCACACAACTGTACAAAAATAGTCAGGTATATGTCAAACAAAAAAGTTACTTTCAGACGCGTCAGATGTATGTTTGTCTTTTGAAATGATTATTTTTGGTCATCAAATTAACGGCCTTTCTTTTCGTCATTGATAACTGGTGTATCTGTTTAACCTTATCAAATACAAAACAATGAGTGAAATGTATCTCTGGGAAATGCCTAGGTGATCCCGAAAACGGAGTACAGTATCGAATATATTTGGACCAAGAAGACCCCCAAAGCCCAAAGAATATACATTCGTTTTCTTCAGAGTTCAAATTTTGCTCCATGACAACTAATAATTGTTGGTTTCGTTATTTGTCATTTTGTCATAATCTGCGAGACATAACCTCATTGCTGTAAATGCTGTCATTGCTGTCTACATCGGTGTGGCTCGGGTCTATACACCGTCATGACTCGACACTCTGCTGTATTTTTGGTTGCGTGTTTACGAGGTGCGTGGAAGCTTTCCACCAAACTCTCAACAAAGAAGGGAACTTCATATTCAATTGGAAAATATGATTTCCAAACCATGTCACTTTTAATTTGTATTCTTCGGGAAGAAATAATGATTTATTTACCGAATACAATAAGTAAGATCAATTTCAACATAGATAAAAAACATATTACAAATTATATCAAAACCAATTGAATGTTTGAAATTTTTATTCGTGTTTTGTGTTCCAAATTATATATTTATGGTCCAAATTATATATTTATGGTCGTGCTAAATATCACTCGTGCGAGATGTGTCACTTTCCACACTAGTTATGTAATATACTATTTCATCGATGCCTATTGATTTCTGGAATATTAGTCATTGAAACTTGAACACCCATATCTATTATTATTTTTCAGCGAATCATATTGTAACATTAGGAATAACAAATCAAAGAGAAACAACAATAGTTTGGGATAAAACCACTGGAGAACCACTATATAATGCTATAGGTAACAACGTTGTCTTGTAATCATATATTTTCAATCTAAATATTGTCTATTTGTTTCTAGTATGGAACGACATTAGGACAGACTCAACAGTAGATTTAATACTATCAAAAGTGCCCGACGGCAATACAAACTACTTTAAAAGTATCTGTGGTCTTCCAATTTCCCCATATTTCAGCGCTTTCAAACTCAAATGGCTCATGCACTATATACCCAAGGTGAAAAAGGCTGTGAAAGCCAAAAAGTGTCTATTTGGAACTGTTGACACTTGGATTCTGTGGGTAAGAAACTATTTCAATACAGTGTATTACTGAAAAAATATATTCTTATTCGCGAGATTCACGAAGTGGGCGACATCAAGGTTACCTAATACGAACTTCAAACTGGGGGAAAACAAACTTTTGTCTATGGATGAAGTGCATAGACTACAATGTATTCAGCTTGCTGTAGCTGTAGTCAAACTTGTTAATGACTAAAGTGTTGGCACTGTTGGTAATGATGATGGTTGAGTTGGTTACTTTTTTTATCTTATTATATTTTTATTAGTTTAGTGAACAGTGAACGGGTGGAGAATTGGAGATAGTTCAAACAATTCAAACTAATTATGACAAGCAAATCAATTGATATATAATAAAACATCTATAACATGTTTACAATACCCAGATTGTCTTGCTTTGCAGGAACAAATACAAATCCATTGTTCTACAGGAGTTCCTCTGAACCCCCAATTTCAATTTTACTTCATGTGGGGAAGATTTCATCACCGAATTTTGTAGACAAAGTGCAAAAATGTGCCTTTTGTTGAAGTCTTCTGCCTCACACAAAATCACATGTTTAGCACGGAGAACTGCTTCTCCTTCCACTACTGGTCGGTTTTTTCCATCTAAATAGAGCAAAATATCTGCCAAAAGAACATCTACAACAGGCATTATTAGCGTTTTCGATCGAATATTGACAATTAATGTCACGAAATTTAAAAACTTATCACTCTTATCAGTATACAGTACACAAGCTAATGGCACTAATGGGATTGGGTGAGAATTGAGTTTGTTTTCCCCCAGTTTTGACGTGGCTTTGACATGGAAAGATGAAAACCGAGCGCCACCTGGTAACATTGATTCCCGCGAATAGGCCCGGATTACTTATTAAGCGCGTTAAGCAGTCGCTTAAAGCGGCAAATCTTCACAAATTGAATATAATCCATATACAGGGTGATTCAAAATACGGTGTAAATATTTTAAGTACACATTGTCGGGATCAAAATCAGACTTTTCCCTTATACAGGGCGTCCTGCAATTAGCCTGCCAAACTCCACCGGCGCCTTCTACGACAAAAAGTAGGAAGACAAGTTCCAATAGAGATGAGTCGAGATATGACTCCTAAGGGAGCCCTGAGGGGAAGCTCCTGAAGATGATTTTTCTTGAATATATCCGAAATGCCACTTGATAGAATGATGCAATTAGGTGCAAGAACCAAATTTTTCATGCTCAATGCGGTGAACATAAAATGATTTCAAAATTCAATCCAGGAGTGTATAATACAAGGTGAGACTACATTAAATATTGCTCAAACTTTACGCACATATTTCGACAATTTAATCTCGGATTACGAAAATCCACACCGTTTAACAGGAAAAAGGTACTCTGGTTCCGCATCGATCAGATGTATCATTTTCGAGTGAAATCGATCGAGAAATATTGATACACTCATATCTTATGCATAACGTTGCCAATTTTCAAATCATAGTGGCTATACAAAAATCAACTACAATTTTTGTGTTTTTTTTTTTCATTTCCACTACGACTTATTCCAATGTTATGCATAATATCTGAGATGTAACAATATTATTAAATCGCTTTTCCTCGATACATCTGATCGTTGCGGAAAAAGAGTACCTTTTTTTGTAAAGAGGTATGGATTTTCATAATCCGAGATTGAATTATCGAAAAGTGTGCATACAAAATAGTTCGAGCCATATTCAATGTAGTCCCACCCTGTATTATACACTCCTGAGTAAAATTTTGAAATGATTTTATCTTCACTGCATTTTGCATGGAAAGGTCACTTCTTGTACCGAATTTCATCTCTTTATCACATAAAGTTTCAGAAATACTCAAGAGATATCTTCAGGAGTCCCCTTTCAGGGGGGCGTAGCTGCCTTAGAATACATGTCTCGTCTCATGTTCATTGAAACTCTTCTTCCTTTCTTTGGTCGAAGAAGCCGTTGGTGAATTTTGACAGGCTAATTTCGGGACACCCTGTATAAACATGTGTGCTAAAATGCACCACCTCCGAGCTAGACCCACTATAATTCTAAAAAAATTGTTCTAAAATTGTTCTATCCGTCATTCGGTTGCCCCCTTACGAGCAACCCTCAGAAGTCTTCGAGAGTCTTGTGCGAGCAAGGAATGACGGGGGCCTTACCCTTTATAACGTGTGATCCCAAACACTTTCTTGGGCCATCAGAAAAATTTCTGCAGTCGACGGGAATCGAACCCACGACCGGCAAGCGAATGCGGATTAGAATATCGACACTCTGTCCGCACGGCTACCTGGTTAGGTAAACAAAATATTATCTGAAATTGTTACTAGAATGACGGATCAAATCCTCTGAATATTGGCATGCCTTTGTCTTTTCTGACACTTTATTTCCCAAATTTTATGTTCAAAACGAGAAACTGACTTTGAATAACATAATCTTGACTGTAATAATTCGGTTTCTTGCATTTTTTAATGCAACGAAAGGGGATGTCGCATCGTTTTAGAACTCAATGGGTTAAACGTTTGCATACGGAGGTGATCGTATGTAAGAAAGCATTTGAGACTGCTATTCCAGAGGCGTGTTATTATGATCACAATTTCAGATAATCTTTTTTTTTACCCAAGTTACAGAGGCTTCATAGCTTGGAGTCTCATTTTGACCTCAACAATACTTCCTTAAAATATTAACACCGAATTTTGAATCACCCTGTATTATAGATATAATCAATTAAATGAATACGCTACAGCTACAACCCTCCATAGAACTTATTTTACCAATATGTACCAGTGTTCGTGTAAAAGGCGCTTAGTCAACGTTTTTTATTGTTTAGTAGGATTCTCAACATTTTGGTTTATTTTTATATACGCTTTCACGTTAACTCCCTACATAGGACATAACTCGTGCGATATCTTCATTTGGTAGGAGGGAGAAAACGAGCCATGCCGATAAGAAAGTGAAGATCTTTTGAAGATTATTTTTTTCCCATGTCAAAATGTGACGATTTCGTTGTTCCATCCAATAGCAATCCGTGATTCTAGCCAATCATTCGGTATTATACTGATAACACTACATGGAACTCGATAATTTAGATTGAACTGTGAAAACAAAACTATAAATAAAAAGTAAAGACTCTACTGCGTTAATTATCTCATTTTATTCTTATAGGAATGTGTGATGATTGAATTAATACTAATTATCACTGGACTGAATAAAAACTATTCCTTTTATAAACGATAACATTCCTAGGTTATAGTTCAAAACTAGTCTGACTCATCTTCTTATACTCATATTATGTGTGATGATTGAATCAATAGTAATGATTATTATTACTATGCGGAATAAAAACTGTCCCTTTCATAAACATAAACAATAACATTCTTATGTTATAGTTCAGTGATGACACGAGTTACTAGCGTCTATTGACAGAACGCAATAAATAATCCAAGCGAAAAAAGCAAATGCTTCAGAATTCATTAGAAATTTACGGAAATTAACACAATGGAAGTATGTAGAATTACTTTCACTCGTGAAATGTGTCTTTTTCTCGAATCGGTGAAAAAATTATTTTCCCAAATACAACTCGTTCCATAAATTTTATTCGATAAATTTCTATTTTCATCACTCAAACTTTTTTATTTGAAGCAAATCATTCAAACACATCGAATTAGATAAATTTTCAATCGATTTGTTTTCATATTTTTGCCAAATAAAAAAGTTTTGGTAGAAAATTAAAAAAAGTATCGATAATGTTTAAAGGTCTCGTGGTATTACCTTCGATTACTCCCACTCTTGGATAGTTGCTAGCCCCAAGCACGATACAATATTTTGCCATTGTAATGTTTTCCAATGAAATCACGGCTATAAAAAAAAAACTATTATGAAAAAATTTTCCTTGAGGTTGCAGTCAAAAGTAATGGTACCTTGGCCAGAAGAACTCTTTGTTAAATGGTCGAACTATCGAAATATTTTGTTTTATTATCAAGACATTTACTTGAGGAGTGACCAAAGCACATCATAGTTGAAAAATGAACTCAGTAATGATTTATAGAAAACATATTAAAATGGTATATCTTGAACTTCTAGTCGTAGGTGTAATAATTGTAGTGCTCACTACATCAGCTGTATGTTGTATGCTTTTTACTTTTCATGTAACTAGTCAAGTTGAAATATAAACTATTTAACAAAGAATTCCTCTTTATATTGGCCATTCTCATTGCCTCCAATCTCAAGAATAATATATTTTCAAGTAATTTTTCTACCAGTGTTTCAACTAGTCCAGTCAAGGGATCATTTAATATTTCATTCAAGTTTAAATCATATTTTTGTTGTGTTACCCATATTTTATTTATGATATTGTACCATACTTTATTGAATACATTTTTATTATCAATTTATTTTATATGTATGGTCTTTCACAATATGATATGTGAAAAAGTAGAACCTAATCAATCATTGGTAATGGGGGAGAGGGGGCGGCAAAATATGTGCTGACCAAAGCGCCAAAATTTTTGATCTGGGCAATCTTACATAACCCACTTGTTAGAAGTTTTTGATGTTCCCATTCAAATTTAATTCTCGAAATTTAGAATATCATATGAGTCAACATTAAAAATCGATGTGAAATATTGAGAAAAAATTACTTTCGGGGCATTCAAAAACCTCAAAATGACAAGATATTTTTATCCACATTGTATAAGTTTTGATAAAATCGTTAATCTTAATTCATCTAAATTTTCTACAAAAATCGTAATATAACGAATACACAATAGAGACATAAATACGATATTTTCCAAAATAATTCGTAGATTTCAAAAATGTAATGAAATACAGAGTTATTCATTTAAAATAAATACATCTATGTCCGTGGTTCAACCGAAAGTGCTATGTACCTGGCGATATTTCAAACTTATAGGAAATTTATTCAAATGGAAACATCGAAAACACTTGATAAACGAATTACTAATCAGCCATGTGTATTTTACAGCAGATTATATAGGTTATCAATCTTAATCCATAATA